TTTCCCTCATCCACTAGGCGGGTCACTTGGTGATGCGTGAGTTCTTACAATATTTCAGTTCAAAATAATTTTGGAAAAGTTGAGGTGGGTTGTAGCGAGAGATTACCAAAGTAAGCCAGGGCCAGGAGGAAAACGGGCAATAACAACATTGCTTTCCCTGCACAACTGTACTAGAATATCTCAAAATCTAAATCGATGAAACACTACATACAGTGTATTAAGCTCTCCTGCAGTAAAGGATACTAATTGTATTGAACTCTGTGGCAGTCCAGTGACACAGACACATTTACAAGAGAGGAGATGGGACCCACGACACCTGTTAGTCCCTAGAGAGTATGGCGAGTGACAGAAACCTCTCTGCCTGAGATAGCAGGATTCATTAAATCATGTGCAGTATTCAAGAAAAGAAAACCAGTAATGGGCGTAAAGATGGACCATTTGGATAAAATATTGTCCTGAAGAAATCTTTCAACCTGTACCTGGATAAAATTGCATTAAAACTGTTTTACAAGAATCACAGTGATAAAAGGAAGATCCATTTCACATTTATGTAAATAATGTCACACATTTTTTATATTAATATTACAGCATTTTAAAACAGACATGGTGTTTTAATACCATATTTTACATTTTCCCTTATTTTCTTTTTTTTTCTTCTTGAACGCTAGTGTTGTAAGCTTAAGAGGAGAGACCACTCGTTCAAGGAAGATTTTGCTGCATCTGCTTATTGAGTGGTAAAGCAGCAGTACCACAATCTTTCTTAGCTTGACAATTTCTGTATTTTTATTATTTGGCCTTTAAGAAGAAAACTTGGTTGGGAGAACATCTTCTAAATTCTACTAAAAAATTTTAAGTACAGTAGGGCCACATCTAACACTGAGGTTGGTGGTTATTGTGCTAGTGATTATTCTCCCCAGCTGGACAGCGTTTCTTAGAGACAAACTTTGCTTTGGTTTGAGGTTCCAAGTTATGCTTCAGCTTTGGCAGCACAACTTTGAGCTTTTGTACAGAAATATTGTGTTAATCAATCTACATTGCAGAGGGAGAAATTTAAGATTTTTTCCTAATGATTTCAGTAGACCTAAGATTCCATTCAGACAGTTCTTTCCTCTGAATTCAGAAGACCAAAAAATTAAATAAAAGCGAACTGACAAAGCACATGTTGAAAGGCAGCTAAAAGACCGATTTCACTGCATAGGAGACAGCAGGTTGCTAATGCCAACATCAGTCAGCATACACTGATGTATACATACATTTGCCAGCTAGAGAATAGTGCCCAGTCTCCAGGGTCCTAAATTAAATCTGGAAACTTCATCAAAACATTGCAGTTTGAGTACCTTGAAAATTCCCTCATTAAAAACCATTGGATAGTCATATCATGCACATGCTCCTCTGTGTAATAGTATTACCAAATTCAATTTAAACAGTATGCTTTTCCACTTTCCATTTTGTAAGTTTTGTTACAAATCTCTTCAGAACAATGATGAACAAATCCATTACTCTCATAATTTGTTCTATAACATTGTGGGCAATTTCATTTTTACACTACATTCTTGGTACTATTACTATTGCACTTAGAAGAAGAGTTTTGCATGGGCTTAAACATACACGTTTGTAGCCTCCTGCTTGGAAGGTGAAAATATGACCTCTATGCTCCTTACTTAGCCATTTTCCCATTTCATTACCACAAAGTTAGTTCAATGATCTATAATCTAGTATTTGCAGTACCTATGGCACTGCAATATTTCAGTACCTAATGCATGTGAAGCATGACAGCATGCTGTTTTATCATGACAGAAGGTTAATGGATGGTAACATCATTCTGCTGACTGACCTTGAAAGAGAAGTATATGCTGTTTTGCTCAATGGTGCTAAGACGACAGATATACTTTTGTTACTGTAGCAGTCTGTGTTATAATTGTCAGGCAGCATATATTCCACAGAGGGGTTTGCATCTGTCTCCAAATGTTTACAGCAATTTTCTAAAGGCCCTTTACTTTTTTAGTAAGCCAAGATGACTCAAACAACAGCCCAGCGCCAGTATGGGCACTAAAGTGGCAACTCCATTCAATTGCTAGCTTCTCTATAGAAAAAAAAAAAGTTTTTCCAATGTTTGCAAAAAAAAAAAACATTGGATGGTTGGATATATGCTGATATATTTCCTTTATTTTACCCTCTAACAGATCTATTAGAATGAAGAGGACCCTCTTCCTTTTCTTGCTTACTCTGTGCTGGTCTATCAGTGTACGCAAGGCCTCTTCGTCATCTGGAAGGACCCCGTGGAAACGAAGAGCCTGCTCTGCCTCTGCCAGCCACTCCAAAAGGACATGGACAACAGAGTGGAATTCTTCTGCCTGTTAAAATACAAGAAGTAGTCACGGTCACTCATGAGGGAACCTGACAGACACACTGCAGCTTACACAAGGAGACTGAGCCCACATTTGGAGTCATTAATCACACAGCAGTACTGGCACATTAACTTTCCATTAAAAAGTCAATGATATACAGTACTACATTTTCATAACTGTAGAAATATCTCATGCTTCCCAAAAATTATAGGAAGCCTAAAAGCCTGTTCATGCTTTTAGACATCTGATTTATAGCGTATTTGCAGCTCAGTTGAGAATGTCATGCCTTTACGCTGACAAATTACACGGGAGGTGCTTTCACAGACCAGCTGGCGAGATGAGAACTGTATTTTCTGCATAGCCTAAATCACCAGTTAAGCAAAATTAACTGACAGCCTGTTGGTGACTGACCCTTTTATGTCTGGTGAAAACAAGAAAGTTCCACCTTTGGGCAGAGCCATATTCAGACACAATTAGTGTTTGACGTAGCTCAGGATTGTGCCTGCTGCGAGACTGGAGAGCTGGACAAACACAGAACCCTGGGAAACGCAGGGCAGGAATTTTCTACACAGCGGATGCATCACCGTTGCAGGAGCCCCATCCTAGCACCAACCCAAGCTAGTATATATTCACAAGAGCTGTACATCCCTATTATCTCAGGTTTGGAAACAATACAGATAGACCTATTTTTTTGGGATTAGTACTAGCCAATATTGACATACACAGACTGTTCCAGCTCCTAAGTGTAGTCAGCACAACTCCATTTTTTTCTGCAATGTACACCACTGTGCACTCTAATTGTGTCAATGTACACAAGCTTTCAGTACACAAATTTACTTTTTTCCAATAAGGCACAAAGGGCATAAATATGACTGCAATCTCCAGCTTCCTGTGAAGGGGGCATAGTTCTTAATCACCCTTCACATTTGACTGTAACTTCCTTAGATGGTAATTTGAAATATTTGCTTTACATTTGTCATATAGGCTAATAGTAACAGTAATAAATAGTGCTTCAGCATATATTATGTGCTGTGGTAAAGGGATAGAGGCAAGGTAAGCCACACATGAGCAAGAAAATGAGTATTTTCAAATCACAGAATCATTAAGGTTGGAAAAGACCTTTAAGATCTTTTAAGTCCAACCATCAACTCAACACCACGATGCCCACTAAACCATGTCCAGCGATACAGACACATTTATAAGAGAGGAGATGGGATGCTTCTCATTAACTAATGCAGTGCATTAACCCACTACACCTCTCAGGCCTAGAGAGGATGGCAAGTGACAGAAACCTCTCTGCCTGAGATAGTAGAATTCATTAAATCATGTGCAGTATTCAAGAAAAGAATCTACATGCCACGTCTAAATGTTTTTTGAACACCTCTGGTGATGATGACTCCACCACTTCCCTGGGCAGCCTGTTCCAATGTTTGACCACTCTTTCAGTAAAAGAAATTTTTTCTAATATCCAATCTAAACCTCCCCCACCACAACTTGAGGCCATTTCCTCTAGTCCTAATGAAGTTAAATTAAGTTGAATGAAATTAAGTGAAAATTAAATTAAAGTTTTGGCAACTAGACTGCAAGGTATTTTCACTGCTTCGTATAAAGTACATATAGCATCAGTAATACTTCTCTACCTGCCGAAGAGCCTGTTCCAGTCGTGTTTGCTTGGATACCGACAGGGCACAAACTGTCTCCCAGCGAGTACTTAGCTCCTGCATTTGGACTTTGACCCAGGAAGAGTCATCACGACTGCCTTCTATCAGCTCTCTTGCAGAGCGCTTCAGAGCCTGGACACTGCTCGTTCTTTTTCCCAGCTCCTTCTGGAAAACCTAGGCACCACCAAATATATTTGAAATGTTTAACTCATTAAGGCATAATTATGTAACAAAAAACTATTAGTTATAAGAAGAAATTGAAATACAGATTTAGTTCAGTCAAGAGTAACTCCACCTAAATGATGGAAAACACACAAGTTCTGCTTACTAGATTCCATATGAAGATATTTACACTCTACCCTATCCTAATAAAACAAAACAAAACAAAACTGGAATAAGGTATGAAAATATCAGGCAGATCCTGAGAACCTTTCCTGATGCAATGCATGGGGAATCTAGCCTCCTTACCATGCTAGCTTTACACTCTTTATCAAAACAATTGATCTGACACACTGATTAATGCGCGAGATTGCTGTGGCAAGTAAAGATCAGATAAAACGCTAATAATCTAGGAGAATGTTTGAAATCATAAAACCAGAAATAAAACCCCATCTGGGGGTCTGGCTGTAAGGCTGTAGATCTTGCCATATATTCATATATTTATGTGACAGCATGTTCACGTTTGCAGATGGAACAAGCTCCAGTTACATAAAGGAAGCTCTTAAAAAAAGATATGACAATTACAGTATATGGTGCCACTGACTATGACTTACTTGGATTTCAGAAGCAATCCCAGCATATATTTCAGGCTAATTTTTATAGATAACCCATGTTTCCAAATACTTTTTTTCATGAGGGACAAAACCTCCTCCTCACTGAAGTCTTTGGATACTGGAAGTCACTGGTGGATAAACTGGGGGACCTTCCCCTCATAAACCTCCCAGGCTCCAGAGCTCTGAACTGTGTGTAGGTGCAATTTGCTAGTAACTTCAACAGCCACTTCTCCCGACATACTGAACTACAAAACTGGTATTCAGAGGCACAGTCCTACATCTCCTACTTGCTCCCATCTCCAAAAACACTTCAGTAACAAAATACTGCAGCTTGCCAGTGTAGGCTTCCTGGGCCATATCCTAGTTGTATACCCCCATGCATAACTTAAGCATTGCAACTACTTTTCTCCATTAACATACAGCAGCTCAAGAGGTTTGAAAGGTTGCTGTAGTCATGACGAGTGCATTGGACATTTGGTTAGCAGATGGATGTACTAAATAAAAAGCCCTGCCTCCACCAAAAATTTCCAGTAAAATAATTCTTGCCACCTCTTGTCCATATACACGTATTCATAAATGCACACTTGTGATTTTTGACATGATATTCACAAATACACAGAATAGCAGCATTAAACGTAATATCACAACACTAACTGGTGTCAATAAGTCATTAATAGTTGTTTTCTTCCATGTATGTTATATAGCATTTTCCATTGTTGACGACAAGTTTGTGTTATAAAACTATTCCATGTTTCTAAAAATTACAGAATAGCAAGATAAAGATAGCACTGAAATGCTACACTTATGAGCAGTCTAATCATTAAAAAAAAAGAGTACTTTTGGAATTACCTTGTGATTGTCGATCAGATTCATCACTAAATCAATGTCTCCATGTACTGGCTGATCTTCTGCTAGCTGAGGTTCAATTTTGTATAACCAGTCAATGAGAGCTTGCAGAGCATCAGTAAATTGCCCTGAAAATAACAGGGCTTCCTCCAGTTTATTTTGTCTGGGGGGGGTGGGCGAAAAAAGAACATACACACACATAAAAATAATTATTCATACATTTTAAGAAAACATTTTCAGCATAAAATGATAACAACTAAGAGCTTTAAATCAGTGTTTCCCTTTTTAAATAGTGTGACATCCCCACCCCCACTCTGTCCTCTTCCATACCATCAGGGAAGTATACATTTCTATTATTTCGCTGTGTTGGCACTCTTCATTATCAAACAAGCTAGCCACTCTGGTTTTACTTTTACACAACAGAAACCAAAACAGAAGCCAAAAGGATTCCCCTAGATCTTTTTCTTATCTGCTGAATAATTAGGTTGGCTTTCTTTTACCTTTCCACTGATTTTCCACAAATGGTATCCCACTTATCCCTTAGTTCACTCAGCATATCATCAAGTTTCAAATTGTCATCAGCCAAGGTGGTTTTCTCTTTCAAGGAGCGTCCAGTCCTATTTGTGGTATCATACACAGAATGTTTGGCACCAAGAGATTTTTGGAATTCCTGTATATAGAGAAGAAAAAGAAAACACTCATATAGCATTAACTGCTTACAGGCCACAGTTAATTATCTTTGACATATTGTTTGCAATGGAAAACGTAAATGCTGCTGCAAGAAAATTTTAAGCTTGCTGCAAAATTTCTAGGCTGCTAGTGCCACGGTGCACCAGAAATTATATGGGCCTTGACACTAGCAGAGTCCCTGACTTTTGTCCCTCTGGTTATGTAGCTCTATGCCTACTGGAACGACTCCTGGCAAATCCCTCCTTCAGTGACAGCAATGACTCCTGTCCTACCATAATATTCCTCAATTTCTGCAAGGGGCTGCCTGGTGGTCAGAAGAATGTCAAAGAACTGCTACTTTGGGAGCCATGAACTGAGCAGTCTTCACACTATATTCTTACATTCCAAGATTTACAGCCAGTGTAGAGCACCCCAAGGGCTGCAGAGGTCATTCTGTTTTAGCTCAGCATGGTCAGGCTGGGAAACCTCCAACCACAAACATTTAACCCTCCTAAGATTGAAGCATACTATAACTGGGAAGAATTGTATGCCAAACGCATACAGATCCAGGCACAAGAAGGAGCCAGGTGACGTCCCGATAGCGCAGTTTGGGCTGGAAGTCATGACGGCAAGCAGGTTTCTGTGATCCAGGGACATTGGAAGATGACAGTGACACAGCAGTTGCATCTGCCTGCCAGCTCTGACAGCTCCTCCTGCACAGAGCCACTGGAAGCTTTTCAAAGGCACAGAGGAGCACAGAGAATCATCTGATAGCACAGAGGAGTTAACCGGCCGACAGAGTAAAGGAATTAAATTAAATAAAGGAACACTGCCAAAAGACAAAACCAGCCCTACACAGCAACTTTTAAATGGCAGCAGTGCTTAAAGTGTTTTATTTCACACCTTCATGAATTGCTAGCAGGAAATCAGTTAAAAAAATATAAAAATCACAAATTTGCTTTAGGAAACTCCTGTATACAGAATCAAATAAATATTCTTCCTTTTTTGTCACCAAAAAGTACTAGGCCAAGAGAGTTTTTGCTCAGCATTTGCCGAAACGAATTTTCATCTGGTTCTCAGAGCAACATTCAGTATCATCACACCCAGCACAGAAATGATTACCACTTACAACTCACAGTAACTCCTCAGGGTGTGTAAAGATTGCCAGGATTCCTCGCGGCCACTGCCGGCAGGTGCACGCCTGCTCACCTCCGACTGGCAAGCTGTTCCCAGCCAGCCTGCACCAACCTGTGCCACGGCAGCTCGCAACTCCTCCACTGACTTTCCCATGTGTCCACATAGTCATCTGCTCTTTTCAGATGTCAGTGTGTGTCAGGGAAAGCTCCGGTGGAATGGAGGTGTCTTAAGTTGGAGGTAGGCCTTGGGTTATGCCAGGGAGGCAGTAAGACAACTTCACCTAGGGTGATCCAAGGTTTCTTTTTTAAAACTTGCTTGGTATTTTGCACTGTACTGTCTGTACTTTAGGGTTATTTCAGGATCCAGAGGGGACTGAGGATCAAAATCCATCAGAAAAAGAAAAAAAACCAACAAACCACACAGCAAAAAAAGACAGCATCTGTTTTGTAATTCACTATTTCCTTACTGTCCTTTCATTTTCCTCATATAAAACAACAAGGAAACACACTTTAAGAAAGACTACAAACATCATTGTCAAGTTAGAACTACTATAAAAATAATTTTAAAAATGAAAATAACCGTTTTTTTATAAAAGTTCCTTAAATACTAACAGTATGTCTGTCCTCCTTTTATTTGATGAGGTTTATTAACTACTTAACACTACGTGCACAGTGCTACTTGATTTGCATGAGGAAACACAATGAAATTGCTGCCAGAGAAGGATCATACAGGAAAAACAGATTTAAAAGTGAACAAAGGGTTGTAGTCAATTCATTCTTTGAGAGACTACACACACTACAGTGTATCTACTTTCATTTGATTTCACAGAGGTGTAACTGAGAGTAGATTTTGGTTCAAGCTGGCAGGAGCAGACAGGTAAGATGACCGAAATCTCAGTAATTAACTATCTTCCTTCTAAGGAAGATGGGAACATACAGATAAAATTAGCCAGGTTCATATAAGTGTACTGTAAGGAACATTCAGCATTAGCACAGGAATGGATTGAGTGACCTAGTAAGGGTTTTTCCATTCCTGACTTCTAAAAATGAGAAAAAAATGCTGATAAACAGACGATGAATAACCCCCAAAAGTCCCTGGCAACACACTAGATATGAGTGAGAGAGCAAACATATTATCTTGGCTTTTCTCTTTCAGGGACTTTTTTTTTTTTTTTTTTTTTTTTTTGGCAGTAACAACTGGCAAAGAGCAAGTCCAAATTATTGCTTACAGCACACACAGAGCACACATTCAGTTCAGATAGCAAAATCGTTAACTAAACGGAGCAAGGAAACCTTCAAGGCTGGACAGAAAAGACAAAGACGAACACAGGGGGTATATGTGGGAGTGGAAGGAAAAGACTCAAAATACAAGGAAGGACATTGCAGTGTTGGGAGGTTTGACAGCTCATTAAAAAACAATTGAGTTGATTTCTTGGGGGGGGTTGTTTGAAGTTTAAAGTCACAAAGTTCACAGAACTGCCTCTCTCACACACATTCATCTTTCTCCTCCAAATTGCCAGTTTCAATCCTAATGCCCCTGTGCCACATTCCATCCCATTCCTTAATGAGAAATGAGATTCAAGCAACTCGAGTAGCTATTCTCTGCAAGCATTTTATACAAAGAGAAGCTGGAGAAAAGATGATGAGAGAGAAGTGATGTGTCTGTCAATCCATGTGAGGAAGCTTGGGCTCATAAAACATACTGCTGTAGGTAAAAACAAGTGGGATTATCAAGCTTAACATTTCGGAAGAGGGAAGGAGTGCAAGAGTAGAGAGTCAAACGTCAGGTCCTAAAAGGACCTCAAAGCAAAGTCACAATGTGTTGACCATACTTGCGAGGAGTTTGAACTTTATATAAGGAAGAGGAAGGAGTGGAAGGATTAAAAGATTTATAAAGTCAGAGATGACAAGAAAGACTATCTTAACAGAAAGATTTCCCCCTCCTCCCACCCTTGCCCCAAATACCCATTGCTAACTTCAAATTCTGGCAACAGCCAGCCAGCGTAACAGAATGTTAATGCAGGTTTATCTAACAGTTTTAACAGCAAACATAGGTAAAACTGTTCCCACTTGACGAACAGCCAGCTTTCCCATATTAAAGGAGAATATTTTCCTGGTTGATAAACAATACTTAAATCACCATGTAAACTAAGAGATGATAAAAATGTAAAGCAGACGTATGCAGTAACCAAGCATTAGTATACATGGCAAAACCTGTTGGAGGTAAAGCAATCATCAGAAGCTACACCAAGAGGGGAAAAATTAGATATGCAAACCCTTGGGGTTATGCAGAATGAAAAAATAGGAGTAAATGAAGAACAATAAAGCTGACACGAAAAGTAGAAGTAAATGTATGCCAAATATAGAAAAAAAAGAACTTTCAATATTCTGTCTCTGATGAAACTGCTTCAAGATAAATCTTGATACACAGTTTGTCTCTGAAGAGTCTGCCACTCAGTCACCTGATCCACTGTAATATATTATTCTAGGCTCTTTACAAAAGTAAAAGTGAAGTAGACTTTTTCCATCCTTCCTTTTGCTCTGTGTCTGATGGAACTACAGAGCTTTTACATTATCATTACTTGTTGAAAAGCCAAGTCAATCGGGGAGATTTTTACATTTTCACCTCCAGCAGCTGGGTTTGTGGAAAGCTGGTCCTGGAATTTTGAATTCCATGAAGAGAAACAACCTTTGCTACTAATGGTGTCATTGTACTTTCTAGAGGATTTCATTAATATTTCCACTTAACATAAAAAGCAACTGCCAATTAAAATACAAGATTATTTTTCAGTTTTGAGGTGGTCCTGTAGTATTTAAAGGAAAATCCCAGCCCAAATAACTGGATGGTAAATTTGTGGTTTAAGGACTGAAAAAAGCCTGTAATAAAATCTCTTCAGAGATTCCTATTCTGCGATAGCATTAATTTGTTTTTTAAAGTTTCCATGGTGCCGTATTATTATGTCTCTCTTCTTCATAGTTAACCATTCTATGAGCCTATGATTCCCTCCTGGATCAGGTACTGTGAATTTTTTTTCACTCCCTGCCTGTAACACACCACCATTTAATTTGATTATAATAACCACTCCATTGTAGGAAGGCCACAAATCTACTTCCTTTGCTGACTGAACAGTACAAGGTTGATAGACTTACCTACATCTTACTAGGCACTTTGCATTTCACCACACATGACTCACCTTATGCTGTGCGAGCTGCATCTTTATTTTGTCAGGGTCATTTGCAATTTCAAGATCTGAGTCCAAAGATTTCTCTGATTCTTCCAGCCATTCCATAAGTTTGTGCCAGGCTTCATGGAACTGCAGCAAAGCAAGATTTGTATGCATTCTAAAATTCACTGGTTCATAAAATAGTCCTAAAACCTTAAACCCCAGCCAATTCTCTACAGGCCAAACAAGGACTCTGAAGACTTCATAAAGATTTGGTCTGCTTTTTCTCTCTGGTGTCTCAAACAGGACCAGCACAACCATGTGCCCACTAGACTTAGCCTCCCTTCTCCTGGGTGAATTAGCAACCTCTTATGTACGTGATCTGCACACATACTATGTATCTTTCAAAGACATATTGGTAACTTCTGTTGATGTGTTGGTCATTTTGACTCCTACATTTTTGGTAATGAATAGTAAATACAGCAAGAATGGGGCTCGGCTATTGCCTATAGGGGACAACAGCAGTAAATCATGGGGGAAAACTCCTGTCTGGATGACTGCCCAAGATTTTCCCTGGAACGCTCACAAATCCTCTCATTGTATCAAATGCTATCTTGGCAGGCAAGGAACAGATTCTTGAACTTCCTTCCTGTCTCAACAAAGCGAGTGCTTCAGGAAAGGAAGCAGGGAAGGACTTGAGATTCAAACAGCTTTCACAAAGTGGCACCTCTTTTTTTCAATTTTTCTAAGCTGGTCATTTCTCTCTTCATGTCTCTTGAAAATTCGTCTTGCCTGAGCTGCCTACACATGAAAACACAAGAAACTAGTTCAGAAAGCTCTCAAGGCTCCTGGACCATGTTGTTCAGGGTTGTGGATCAGGCCTTGACACCAGCACCCTTCAGTACTCCTACCCTGCTCTGCATAGATAGTTGTCCTAAATTAATAACTTATTATATTCAGCTGTCTAAATGGATAGAGAAATGAAATCCATCTCACTGCAGAAATGCTGTGTGCATGAATGCATGTGAGAAACTGCTGGAAAATCAATAACCTTTGATTGGCTTTTGGGCTAACATTACTCAGTAAGCTGAGTGGCAGTAGCAGTGAACATGGGAATGTGGTTTGGCTGTGAACATGACCAAATCTTGAATGGTCATGTTCACTTGAATAAAAAGAAGCTAGAACTTCCTATTGATGTTTAAACAGATTACATTCCTCTCACACATTTTGCATCTTATCGTTTATGCTCCTCAGTGAGGGGAATGTGTATCTAAGGAAAAAAGCATGAATGATCCCTGGGGAGAAAAACTGTGTAAAAAAACTCTCCAGGTTTTTAAGGAAATAAATGGAGACATCTTACCACACAGAAAATCTAGTAACTAACGTAAGAGATTGAGGAAGTGATGAGTATTAATCAGGGCACAATGTAAACCCAAGAAGAAAACACTAAGGAATACTCCCACAGATTAGTGAAAGGGGTTTGTCACATTCTTTAAAATACAAGGGGTTGATTGTGAAACTTCTTCTTGAGGACAGTTGGCACTAATATACATCTGGAAGCCATACTGTAACTTTCTTCTTTCAGACTATTCTGTATTGCACACAGAAGTCACTGCGCGGGTTGAAAATGATGCTTTCACCTCCCAAATGAAGTGCTCTATGATTGAATCACAGAAATTGCTCCACTAACTCAACAGTGTCTGTTACACTAAACCCAGACTTACTTGAAAGTGCTTTAAAGCACCATATTCTTCAAGAGTCTGGATGTAATTACAGCTAAGATCAAAGAGTTGTAAAACAGCTGCTGTCCGATTACCTGTTTGGCTCTTTTCCTTGCATCATCCAAAGCTCTTCCCCTTTCAACTAAACGTTGAACTACTTTTTCCCATCGACTCTGTACACTAATCAGCAGATTCTTAATAAGGACAACATCCTGTTTCTGGCTGAAATATTTCAAATGGGTTCCAGTTTTGTCCAGCTCTATGATCTGATCTCGATGAGAATTCACTTCTGTGGCAAAAACCTTGGAAAAAAGGGAGAAAATTGCTCTGAATACTACATTGGCTCAAGCACTGGGTAAACACTGAAAAAAACCAGTCTGATAAAGAATGATGTAACGAGAAAGACTATGAAATGCGATTTTAAAACAAATTAAATGTTTCTGTGAGTGCCAGCGTTACAGGGTTCATTTGGACAATGTTAAAGTATTTCCAGAGTGGGAGAAAAACATTACACATCTGTTTCTTTACATACCTTGTGTTCATCAATTTGAAACAAGACAGTGTCCAAGATAAGACTTGGCCGAGAAGCTGCAGTTAGAGTTTGCTCAGCCTGAGTAAGCCAATTGATGAAATCTTGAAGTGAGTTGTGGAACTCCATTGCTAAATTGAGGGCTTCTTCCAGTTTGGTCTGCAAAGATAGGTCATACTTTAATAGCAGTTGATATTGTGCAGGGGCTTCAGCCAAGTAAACCATTTTAAAACATTTTTCCAACTCAAAGTTTCTGAGTTTTAAAATAACAGCCTACAACTGAGCATATTAAAGGAGATGGATAGAAGACTAACAGTAAAGACAATCAAGATAAAATTTTCCACATTATAACATTATATCATCTACTACTTAATCCTAATGGGACATACGGATTTATCAATTTCAATACAAACCCAGTAGAATATCAGAAATCTAAGGTGGCAGTGCACTTGGAAGGGCCTCAAAGAGGTCATCTAATTTATTCCTCTACACTAAACAAAGAACAAGTTTGCCTAGACCACTTCTTTTTAATAAAGTCCAATTGTCATTTTGGTTGCCTGAACTGAGACTAATTTTGGATACTGAATTTTTGTTGAGCATGAGACAGCAGATTTTCAAACAACTGCACTGCTGGCCTAGCTGAGAACTCCAACCTTACAGCTTCCTGCAAGAAAGTGTTCATATTGAGTGTTAATTAGTCTGACATTCTTACATTATACAGTTACCTTAAGAGACACCAGAATTCTTACTTTAAAATATAACTAAGCTGTTAGTTACATATTTGTGCTTTATACATATCAGGACTGTACAGAGAGTTCCTCTGTTTGTAATTAATGATATTCTTCATTGTTTGATTGAGGTAGAACAAACGGACTATACTTCGTGAAGGAATGAAAGCAAAATGAAATAAATAATAAAGAAAACGTATGTTGCATATCAGTGAAATCACGCTATTGATCTATGTTGGAACAGAAGGTAGTCACTTGAAGTAAGTGGCAGAAGGCCAAGGTTTTGGGAATTTTAAGAAAAAAAAAAAGGATAAAAGCTAGGAAAATTAATGCTGCAATTCTGTACTGAGGAGATAAACTTGAATGATTGAGTAATTTTATTTATTCTCTCATGTCTACAATTACTGTAATAAAAAACAGAAAAGCCTTGTCCTACCAAATAAGCATTATCAGTATCAGTTAATGAATTTCTATGGAACAGACTTGTGCCATTCTCACCCGTCCTCTCCCTCAGCTAAGCATAATCAACTTCCTGAATCTCATTTTTTCCCAGTAATATCTGAACATACCAATGAATTCTGCATAACTGTCTCTACAATTAATTTTAAATATAAAAGATGAAGTAAGTATGCATGCATAAAAGCACTGAACATTAACATCGCTTTTTTTTTTTATCACACTTCTATTTTTATGTAAAAACACATACTTTTCTTTCACTGAGTTTTGTTTGTACTGATTCCCATTTTTCTTTTAAGTTATTTATGTCCTGCTCAACGTTTGTTTCAGCAGACTCTGGGCATCTTGCAAGCATCTGCTGGCCTTTCTGCATTAGACACTTATATGTCTCTTCTTTGGCTTCAAAGGCAGCACAAAGTTCCTAAATAAAGCAAGCACCAAAAAATAAGTCAGGTAGAAATTCAATACTCTTTACAAATGCTAGTATAATATTTATTCCTGCCCCAACATTTAGCGGGTATGATTAAGACTAATAAAGGAAACATATGTAATTCATAAAAAGCCAAATGAGCAAAGAAAGGGCACAATTCTTCAGGAAATGAGAACTTGTATTGTCTGTCAGATGTTTTCTCTGAGATCCAAACCTTGGCAAAGAAAGTACCATGCAGTTATTGCACAAGATTTGCTACAACTTGGTTGGTTTAAAGTCCATCTGTAGCTGAAACACAAAAAGCATCGGCATTATACTGTGCGCTGAAAGCCCAGACCTATTCAACACAACTTCAGAAGTGGGTGGGACTACTTGGGAGGGCTGCTTTATTGTACATGGTCTCTTTTGTTTTGTCTGTATCTTCCTTCACTTGCTAGGCAAGAGCACTGAAGACATTTTACACATACAAAGAAAGCTGGAAGAATAACGGTAGCAACTGTTTTACCTGCCTAGTATTCTACTAAGTGTTCTTTTTTAACCGTGTTAAAGATGGGGTGCCAAGAGACTGGGAGCTCCCATGCATCCCTCTGACTCAAAAAGGCATGTTCAATATTTGTAACAGACCATACAAAAGATACTAACGAAGCTGCTGCATTCCTCCGAAATGAGGAACATCTTCCAGAAGACGAGCAATAAGTGGCTTGCAAATAGGAGGCAAAGAACTTTTTCCTCCAATTCCCAGGACAAGAGCCCTAACCCAACATTTTCTTCGGGTTGAGAGATGCAGTACACAGGGTTGTTCCTGATCACAGAGGAGGGCAAAGGAGGAAGCAGGTTCAACCACAAGCTAAGATTTTAACAGGACAGAAAGCTTCCTTGCTTTCTTTCTGAGGACCATGAAAAGTGGTGTCACCTAGCCTGCTTCCTCCTACGCTCCCAACCTCCCTACAATATTTCTGGCTTCCGTAACTCCCCGGAGGATCTTATTTTACTACAGCACAAGAACCCCTCAGCAGTAAACACAGGGAGCTCAGCACAGGCGAGACAGGGCAAGGCAGGAGTGGCCCCAAACACTGGGGCTGGGCTCAGTCTGAGACAGGGGCTCAACACAGTGGTTAATTCTGCAGTACAGTCACACTCTTAAGGGGGCAGGAACAATTAAAGTTCTTTTAAAGGAGGAACTGAGAAAAACAATTGTTTTAAGAAAAGGAGAGGGATGTTCTGAGCAGCACTGGGACAGCCAAAGAGGCCTCTTTTTAAGACCCTTTCCTACTGGTGTCCTGTAATGTCTCTTCGTATCTTTTGTTTTCCTGGTGTTGCCTTAGCTGGAAATGCTACCCAATCTCAACTCCATTTGTGAACTAATAATGGTTGAGGGCTCTTTTATTCATATCTGTAGAAGCAGACCTTATATTCAAGAAAATGGTTCATAACATTTATTTCCAATGAGAAACGATTCAAAATATAGTGCAAAACTTTCTTCTTCAGTTTCACATCACACCTTAACATGGCTTGTATCACTTAGGGGCAAGTTTGAATTTGGAACTTATAATAAAATAGTACTCAACATGACAAGTGGCCTCAACATTTCAGCTGCCAAAAAAAAAAAAAGGGAGAATTTACACATATCTGCACAGATGCACTGAGGTTTAACTAAACTGAAATCAAGTCCTATTTTTTAAGGGTTATATACATTAAAGGATTATAAGTCAATGCCTGCAGTTATATGATGGCCCACAGCATAGTAACAATCTGTTAAAATGTACGTGTACAGTTAGGAAATGATCGTACATACAGAGTACATATTATTGGGGACACATTCACATTTGTTCCAACTACAATACTACATTCAGTTTAAAGAGTCTTTAACTAACCAATCTGTAAGTACAATAGGTATAGAAAATTTGCGTAGTAAAAGAATGTATCAAAGAAAACCCTGGAATTTTCCAGGGAAAATTTTTTGGTCTTGATCTGACTTTAAGTCCAGAATGAACAATGGAGAGAGCTCCACTGACCCTCATGGAATCATGATTATGCCTCACCCTTACAGGAGGAGTAAAAAAAGGCTTCCCTTCTGCCCCCTTAGAGAAGGGGGGAAAACAGATTTTGACCCAAAAACCTTTGACCTAGTTTCCTGTCAACAGATTTTAAAACTGTAAATTATTTTCCTTCTCAGAAATAGTTACTGGTAAATTTGGGAGGAAAAAAGCGTGCCCCACATCGGTGTGTAATTATCTTTAGCATCATTACAAATTAAAATCTTATTTTTAAACTATGACAATGCAGCATTCTAATGGAAACTGTCAGGCATACATGAGTTAAGGGACAGTTCAGTAAATATCACTGTCACATCTGAGCCAGGAGGTCAGGAGTTTAGATCACCAGGTTTGGGCTTATATCCTGGCCTAACCGCATAGCATTATTTTACATAAATGGAGCACTATGAACCACCTTCCTTTGAGGTAAGGGATCAAGTTTAAGTATCTTTTTTTAAGCTATATGGTTCTACAGGGGCAGAGAAATCTGGAGAATGTTTCTTAAAGAGAAAGAAAGGGAAGGAAGGGAATAATTTAGGCATACTGATCAGCTTGCCATTTCTAATTTAAGCAGAGCCTCTATATGAGCCAGTAGCCCTTATTGTATCTGTGCTAATGATGACTTTAATGTCAGCTTTGGTTAGATAAAGAATAAAGGATTGAGTCTCTTAATTAAAGGTCCAGTGAATGTGCATCACTTTTAGATTAATATTTGTATCTTAGAAAAAGCATAAAAGTAGATATGGGGTCACAAGGGAAAAGAAGAATAGCAATCACTGAAAAATCTACAATCGTTTTCTGTTTTTCTTTCTGAGAATAAGGATGCAAAAGTTCTTTTATTTCTGCCTCAACAGTATTAATGGTTCAGCTTTGGGCAGCTCCCAAGTGACTACTTTTCCTACACTGAAAATAACAGTGTTGTTTTGAAGGCTATTAACATTTATTAAGATACTGTACAGACACTGTGACATATAGAACATGCTCCATATTTACCATAAACACTCTTGAAAGATAGTTAGTCCTGAAATGCAATTTGCAAAGCATTCTAATACTGATACTTACCATATGGGTATTAAGCTGCTCTCTTGCTGTTTCTGGTAAGCCTCCAACGGGTTTTGATGCCAACAGCTGACGTTCAGTGTCTGTCAGCCATTGCTGCATATCTTCAACTTCACCATGGAAACCTTGGGCCTAAATTACACCATATCATCTTAGTATTAGGATGGAGAACATTTCAGTAAGCTCTATCTTAGATGCAGAAGTATACTGGCAACAGATTTAATCAGATATTTGCTATTATCAAAGGAAATAGAAGGGGGTGGGGGGAAGAGAAAAACAACCCAAAATTTAAACTAGCTCAATCCAATCTAAACAATAAAAAGAAAAAACACAGAAATCTTGAAAGCAGGCTAAATGAGCAAGAGAGATATCAATGTTTTCCCTGAAAAATATACCTATACAGAAAATTCACCCTTTGAAAATATGTAGGCCAAAAGCTGAATTCTTGATTTAGCACTATATAAGACCGTGGCCAGCTGTGGAAGATACAGCAGGATTCAAACTTTCTCCAAATTCAGGAGAGTCTGTATTATGGTTTTGATTTAGGCCAACTTCTAATTCATGTATCTATGTATTTCATGTAAAAAGACACTTTTTCTGAGTTATATCTTTACTTGATCATTTCCTGTTCACCTGGATCAAGGCACTGTCCAGCTGCTGTTTCCTTTGTTCTGTTTTTTCCAACACGTTTTGCCAGCGCTGATTCAGGAGTTCCAACTTGCTCCGTAAATTACTTGCTTCTTCAACAGCACTTGATTCAATCAGGTCATTTCCTGCTTTCTTAACTGCTTCCACTGTAGACTGATGAGCTAAAACATCATTTTGTAGCACCTACAATTGTAACACAGCATGTATAACTGGTCATGTTGATACATTATTGAATTAAGTCAATCACGGTGACTAATGATGGTTCTAAACTATTGCCTTGTCACTGGATTATCATCAGTACAGGCATTAGCAATTAAAGCTAATAACTAAGGTCCCTTCAATCAAAAGCAGTTACAGATCATTCTGCCAAAATGTTACATTTTATGTTTGTATCTTGGAAAAAATAATATATGAATACATGTATTTCTGAAATTATGAAAGGTTTCTAGTACTGCTAGTGAAGAATTATTTCTTCACTTTCCTTAATTTACTACATACTTTTCTTTAATAGGATTTTTCTTTGTTTTTGAGGGTAAGGTGTGAAACCAGTGTTATATATAGTAGTGCCAATTGCTTGTGGAGCAGTAGTCTAAGAAGAGAGGAGAGAGAGAGGAACAAGAATACTATGTGCCTGCTGGGCCATACAACAAACTGACTGCCATGATGTCTTTTCACGCATTTCAGGTCTACAACTCATTTCACATTATGTCAGGCTACCAGGACACTTCAGCTGTGCTAAAAGCTGGGGAATGATTGTAATACTAACACCACAAGACCTCATCCATCTGGTTGAAAACCTGTTATCACCAACCACAGTAAAACCATAAAAGGCAAAAATTACATTTGGGAAACAGATGCTGTTTTCAGAAAGATTAAAAAAAAAAAAAGAAAAAGAGAAAAGCTTTAAAATACCAGAAATAAAGAACAGAAAAAGAGAATATGCAAAATGCTTGGAGAAAGAATGGTAAACCCCATCTAAGAAATTATTTATGACTGCTGTCTTCCATGGGGTCTGGTTCAAGCTCACCTCCCTCAAAATGCTAACATATGGAAAAAATATATAGTTAAATACAAAGGAACTTTAAAATAAACTATACAGAGCACTTGGTGAAACAGCAAGTCACAAGTAGCCCTTGTATACAAAACATGCGTCACATTTGCTTTAATTCTTTTAAGCTAAGCACTGGAATATATTCTTTATTTTCTTTTCCTAACAGAGTGAAGAAAAGGGATATTCACAGAATCAGACACATCTTATCCCTTCCTTCCTGCTGAGGCTCACTAAGAACAAGGTCTATTCTTTCCAACATTATTCAAAAGATGGATGTTTTTCCAGGCTACCACAGGATGCACTACTGTGTGAACTTTCTAACCTACAAACTCCATTTTATGAAAAGGAAGTAGATTTTTTCATGTGTTTGCTGAACTCCTTCAGCACTGAAGGTAGATGAAGTCATAAATGATGTCTGGATGCTTCTTCAGTAGTAAAACACTTCCGTTCAAAAAGAACATAAAAGGTTGACAGAGTAGAAGCTGGATTTGGGGTTTTTTGGTTTCTTGTTTTTTTGTTTTGTGGGGGCGGGGTTTTTTGTTTGTTTGGGTTTTTGTGGGGTTTTTTTGTTTGCTTTGGTTTTTTTACAGGGCCAGTTTATAACAGTAGTCACATAGAGCATGTAGATATTGTACTCTGCTCAAGTTCCAAATAACCACACAAAAGGCTTCAGAAGCTGCATTAACACAGACAATGAAAATGCTTTAATTATCTGTGTACTGTCAATTTCAATCAGTTCTCTCTAAATCCAAAATGGACTCTGAATACTTTTCACATCATATGCAGGCCAAAAATTAAATGGCAGATTTAAAGGAAGGAGAGGATTTATGAGGTTAGATTTAAGTCTTCAGGCCTAGAAAGAACACATCATCAGCACATGAACAGCAGTCATGCAAAGAGGTAGGGAAGATCTCTTGCTCATGGGAGATACTCTTCAAAATAAAGGCACAATGAAAGCATTCTTCCATGGGCTCCAAAGTCACAATAAGCAGTAAAAATACTAAAACAAAACATAATAAATTAGCCCTACATTGTACGTAACAAGGAAAAAGATGGGAGCCTGGATACCCTTAAAGTTTGCTGAGATTTTCAGAGAAGCATTTTCTGTGTTAGTTGGACCCAACAGAGATACAATTTTGCAGAATTCAGAACAACAAATCACTGTTTTCCGAGAAGGAAGAAACAAGAATGAAGGATGTGTAACAGCCACGTGCATTTTGTGAGACCTGTCCTAAACAGAAGTAATCAAGGAGTTTATCGCTTTAAGGAGAGTAGCAGGTTCAATAACATTTGAGTTCCCTGGGTCAAATGAAGGTGAATAGATGTAGACACTACGGTGAGCTGGTCTTTTTTGGCTAAAACCTATGCCACTTGAATGGCATACAGAAGGAAGGAAGGAATATGGAGGAGAAAGAGGAAAGATATTAGTTATTCCAAGCCTGGATTTCAGCCATAATCTGCATCTTGAATATCTCTGTATAGAATTATTTATGAAGCGCTAAGTTTTACTACAAGGCTCATCACTAAGATAAACATCAAAAGAACATTTCAGTTAATATTCATTATAATTACATACATGATGTTTGGCAAGTTCAATTTCAATAGCCTTGGGGTCTCCACCCACAGGTTTCTGTTCATTCAGCAAGTCTTCTGTATGTGTCAGCCACGTCAGTAACTCATCGAGGGCATGCTGGAACTGCCCCAAGGCTAACAAGGCACCTTCCAGCTTGTGCTATAGTAAAAATAAAATTAACAATAAAATGGTTTCACAATGCTATTGAATTGGCTTATATTACCATTAGTCACCATAATCCAGAGCACAGTCCATGCATATGATAGCATAAAAACCAGGGAGAGAGAGTTATCCAACACAAGCAACTACTTTATAGTTAGAGCTGAGTTAGCAATTCCCCTGCAAAGCCTGACATTCCAGGCTTAAATTCCTGACCTTCGAAGACCCCATGTAACCAGAGCAGAGTTAAATTTGAAGGTTCTCTCATCAGAGATGTGAGAGTCTCTTAAAATGTAATTTCAATACAAATGCAATTTGGTGCATGATCTTTTTAAAACCTTATCTGTGTTGTGAAACTATTCTGTTAAAAAAAAAAACAAAACAAACACTTCAAAGCACTGCATCTTTAAATCTCTCTTTCACTTTGATAATTTAATATTCAACTATTTCAGTGCTCTTTGGTTAAGTTGTTGGTTTGGTGTTTTTTTCCAAGCGCTCAGTTCAGCAGCTAATGTTACTTTTGCACATATAAACATGTTTTCAACTGCTACTTAAGATGTCATCAAATAACCAAAATGAAATAATAATGATTCAACATGGCACTGCTGACAAAGGAAGCAACGAAAAATACTGCTAAGGGTTTAAAAACCATAAAAACAACACAATAAATTGTAAAATTCAAATCCTATTATATATAGTTCTGTAATTTCCAAAATAGGAGGAATGAGTAAATTGATACGAACATTTTACATAATAAAAAGCTCCTCTCAAAAATCTAAGTAATTAATAAAGCCCCCACCTTCAAGTTTATTTACCTGTCTATTTATAATTTTTTCTTCTAGGCTGTCCCACAGTAGTTTGAGCTCTGAGAGAGGGTCTTGAACAGTGTGCTTGTCACTCTCCTCTGTTACCTTCTTCAGCAATAACTCTGCCTGATGGTTCAGTCTTTCCATTTCTATCTGCTGCTGATAAGCTTCTGTCTTAAATTGCTACGGTAAATAGAAAAAGAATACAAATAAACATATCACAAGTAACGATCTTCTTGAATATAGCATAGTACAGCAATATTTACAATCCTCATGCATCACTGTCAACTTTCATAAATTTGGGTGTTTGTTTTCCAGAGTCAAAATCCCTCCAAGACACTGATAATCCAGACAGTCCCAGCTAAGTGAAACTATGCAATAGTGTCTTAAATAGATAGCAGATATTGCTAACTCTGACCAGAGCATGAAAAAGATGCCCAATAGGAAGTATTCTCCAATGATCTCCCCGGTCTGTAAAAAGGGCAGAACATAACTTGAGTAACTTCTACCTCTTGTTGTGATAATATAATACTTTAAGCTTCAAATAGAATTATTCTTCAGAAGAGCTTTCTGCAAATTTTCTTTAGTAGCACACCCTCTTGTACACACAGCTTGGGCAGTAGTCCGAACACAACTTGCATATGTGTGTTCAACTATGTAAGATTATGGTTCATTTGAAGTTACATCATAAAATAGATAAACAACCTGCCCACAGCCAAAAAAATGTACAAGTGAGCAACAAAACCAAGGACATTCCCTGATCATTATACAATCCTGTTTTTTATATATAGCTTAACAGCCTACCAATGCCAGGAGCATATTCAGTCATAGAAATTTTCGCCTGAAATTTTTATTTTCAGCTTACTGATATATCGGGAATGTCATGATCTGTGTGAGCATTTAGATAAAGCCTATAATGGCAGAAGTGAAGCTTTGGAGGCATTCTCTCCGAGCCTCAAGGAAGCTGTTAATGGTAGAAACCAGAAAATGTAAAGGTCATAGCAAAAGAACCCTGTACATAACAGCCTTAAAGCCTCTGAATGAGAAGGAATGCTATTTCAAGTATTTCTGGGCTCTCAGAACATATTCACAAAATAAAATGCAGTCTCACCATCTATTTGGAATAGAAATATATTTTAAAATTAAAAGTTTGCAGCAAAATGTTATTTGAAATTTTCATGTAGATTCTTTTTTACTAGAAATTGAAAATTGCTTTTGACTCTTGAAAAATAAACCCTAAACACTACAGAAAAATGCAGACAGATGAAAATAGAAATTAAATAAATTGCTAGTTCATACCTTAAGTTCCTCGGTTTGCTGCTTCACTGTCTCCAGATCTGTTCCAACTGGGGACATAGACGCTAACTTGCTGCCAGCAATGTCTACCCAGTCAAATATTGCCTGAAAATCACAGTATGTAATTCAAGCATGAGCAGAGAAACAGTATCATGTTTGAAAGTTGTATTAAGTAAAATATCAGATTTTTTTTTTTTACTCCAGAGAACAATATTGCTGTGCTCTTTGAAAGAAAATAGCTTTCTTCAGTGAAACCTAGGTTTCTTTGCAACACAAGGGATCAAATATTAACTGAAGTATTTCATGTAAGAGTTACAAGAATGTACATGCTGCAAGACTGAACTTCTATTAGTAGTAATATTCTGCCGGTAGTATTCATGCTGAGTAGCACTCTACTTCTCGAGCAAAATCTGCAATTTTTGTGAATAACCTGAAACGTAAGTACGAGAGAAACTGTTCTGCAGTCCTTTGAAGTGAAAATGGAAGGCGGTAGTTGACTGATAACACACTTTAAATGATGATTACAAACTTCTTTTGAAGGATAATGTTATCTGTGTAAGGAACATGAAACATGACCCATTGAGTACATATTAGGTAGTGAAGGGTCGTAACTGAGCTTGACTGAATCTCCATAGGATAATAGAGTTATAACTTAAAAAAATAAATGTTTGCGGGTACTTCTCTTGCTCCTGATATAATACAGAACAACCTCAGGAACACTCTACTTGCAGATTAAGAACAGCTGTATCAATCTGGGTAATTGCATAGGGGAAAAAAACCACCCCTGTTAGGCCCTTTTCCTCCCGTGATTCATTGTGGAGAATGGCTTAGGATGGCTTGTCAGAGCTGCCCACTGCTACACAGCTCCCTGAGAAAAGGAGAACTACCCCCAACATGCTCAACAGGATGAGGCAGCTGCAGCTAACACTCTGCCCACAATACTTTTCATATTGTCTATTGAAATGAGCCTAAGAAGACATTTGAATACAGTTCTTTCACAAAGTACCAAGCTTGCAGGATGTACAGTGTACAACCACAGGAAATACAAAGCACTTAAACCAATGGCAATGTTCCTAACGTAACCCTAAAGTCAATCCCCAAGCAGTATGAACATAAGAGAACTTGGAGAAAAATACATAGTGAGGGTGCACTGGAAAACAGGCACGTTGTATTATTATTAAGGAGTGTTCTGCTGCTTGCTCTGCACCAAACACACAAGCAACTGCCCTCAGTGTCATGTGTGCAACTCTAATTTTTAAAGATTTAACGAGCCAAGACAGATATTAATTCCACTGAGCAAAAAAAATAGTTTTGCAAAATCTGACCATGTTTGGAATCTTTTCAAATGTTTCAGTCTTTTAGCCATTCACTGACAAAAGATACGAGGCATCCACCCAGCCAAAATGTACAAAGAATATGCAAAAATAAAAAAAACCCACAAAAACCAGCACACAGACAGAAAGTATATCTTAAAAAAAAGTGCTGGAAAATTTACCTACAGATTTAAAGTACTGTGATTAGATAAATTATACTAAGAATTAGTATAAGTTAATGGTCCAGCAACATTATGTAAACAATATTTTTTGCTTAAAATATTCAAACTTAAATATTTGACTTATAAAAAAGGTGGAATAAAACTGAAGTTCTTCGACTGTCCTCCACTCAAAGAAAATAGCAGCAAGTGAGTATATGGACCTGCATTCTGTTTCTTTCAGATCATGTAAATGTGTCACAACTTCAACTCGCCTATCATATGAAGTACTATCACAAGAAAATGGGAGCAGGATTACTGTTAATGTGTGTATTCAGAAAACCTCTGCTCTTATCAATAAACAAGGGGACGTTAAATTTGAATCTAAACATAGCGCAACATATGAAAGAACAACCCCACAGATTTATTCTTTAATGCAAAAAAAAAACCAACCCCAAAATCAAAAACAAACCACCAAACAACCAACCAATCCTGAAAAAAACATCTGAAGAAAGTAGTCAGCATAATCACAGTGATACATTACGTGTCACCTACCCAATTACATGCCATTTTTTACTACAACTACATTAAATCCTATTGACTCAAGATTGGGTTAGTTGTATCACACCATCTTACCTGCAGTCCATCTTGATATTGAACAGCTGCCTGCATAGCTTCAACAAGCTTATCCACCCGTTCTTTCCATGTTTTGTTTAAGGCATCCCAGGCAGAATTCAGCTGCAAGTAAATGCAATTTACTCCAATGGACAAAAGAACTTTACTGGTGTATAATGCACATTCACTAATTATTAACTGATCAATAACACCAATAAACTAAGCATGAATAGTTCATATTCATTCCATATTAACACTCTTGTTCTCCCTATCGCTGCATAATTAGTTTCCTTCAGAATACCCTGGAGGTTCTGAATTACAAAAGCTGTAAACTTCAGTACTGATTATTGACTATTTTTATTAACATAGGGATTATAATTAATACAGGAAATATTATTATTAAGTCATTTGGAGTTGCATCATTATAATAAAGGTAGCTTAAAAGAAACTTACACTGCTGAACATCAAAGAAATTAAAAGTACTTTGTAGTCATCCAAACAGGATTGTCTCAGTTTAAGATGTCTCAATATATTACTTCAGATGTATCTGAAGCTTATTCTAGCATTACTTTTGCAAAAAGTAGCCATCTACCATATTAATCAGTGAGTACTTTTAAAAAAAAATCTTTTGACTTTTACAAAAATCTTAACCCATAAATCAATAAAATAAAATTTTCTGTACATTCTAACCTAATCTGAGTCAAAATTCATTTACCTGAAAGGCAATCCTTACTTTACCACAAAGGCTTAAGGGGTATCTCACTTTTGCCACAAAATTTTTATTTTCAAAATTTGTTGGGCGCAGGGTGACCAATTTCATCTGAACAAGCATCTAACATAACAGATCTAAGCATCTGCATTTCCCATACCTCATCTATACTCTTGTTGACAATAGGTTTGTCAGGCTCTCCACAAGCAGCTCTAAGTTCAGAGCCAAGGCTCACAACTGTTTCTAGTTCTTCTTGTAGTCCATCAATTTCTTCTTTAGCAGCCTACAAAGAGAAAAAAATCCAATACTCCTAATACTAAATTTAATAATCTATGTACAGCTTGCTTTCAAGATAGAACACACCAGGAATCCACCTTTGTTTTCTTTAAAGTCACTTAGACTTACAATTGGATGCTTAAAATATAAGCATCCCTTTGCAGTGTCAGAGTGAAATCAACTGACATCAGTCTAAATTATAACAATGGGCTATGATGTCATTTTGCATGAGATGGAAAAAATAAACAGGAAGTTTTAAATTAGATTTCTTTAATCAGAGTGATTTCTTTTTCAGAGGTTATCATTCAACCTTCAAATCTTTAACTATCAGCATAAATAATTACAGGCTTAGAGCGTAATACGTAGAGCACAATACATCTGTACACCCTTCATTTAGATGCTACGTATTACTCAGGGAATCTAAAGTATGTATAACTTATAAAAGTCTCAGTGACATACTTATTATATACATGTTTATAAACAGATATGTAAATATAATGACAGGCACATGTTGCGTGCTTATGGAAATTAAGCCCTGATACACGTCATTTACCATAGACTCTTGAGATATCATTATAGTACAATTACCCCTCTTGGTCTCTAAAAACAAATATTCTCCTGTGATATTTCATTGTAATTCTGTCTTTTCTCTACATTCTGTAAATAAAATATTTAAAGTCAACAAAATACTTTCTACTGACCTCAGCAGCTTCTTGCTGTTGCTTGACTACAGATGGGTCAACTCCAGGTCCTTCCAGTTCTCGAATGAAGTCCTGAGTATCTTTAATAGTAGCTACAAGAGCCATATGATCACACCAAAACTTTTCAGCTAGTTCCATTACATCCAACAGTTTGGCCTCCCTTTCCTCAGTCAAGGTCTGGATGTCTTCCCAAATGAGGACCATTTGGTCTAGTTTATCCTGAACAGCTAAACAACAAAGGAACTAGATTACCACCTCGGAAAACAGTTCTTGGCCATAAATCTCTCTACAGTTCTACAGCAGAAACATATGTGTGTATTTTAAAATTTAGACTCTAAAACTGTTTCTTCACAGGACTCCTTATAATGTTAAGTGGAAACAACCAACATGGTCTTTAAAAATAAAGCAAAGGTCACACCCATTATGAATTTTCAAACAAATGCTTTACTTTTATAGATCTTTAGCAGCTTCTCCAGGAGAATACAATCCCCGAAGTAACAGTCATCAGAAATTAAGACTTTTATATGCTGCAGCTTGCTGCATTTCCACTACATGAAACGTTTCTCAGTCTACTACCTTTAGCAGATATATCCTTATCAGCTCCTTCTGAACGAGCAATCATTTCCTCCCCTCTCTGTTTAAGCGTCTCGTACACCGGCTGAAGTTTTTCCAGATCCACTGACACATTCTTATTTTCACTGATTTGCTCTTTAATCTTCTCAACTTCTGCTGAGATTGAAGGTGGCTGCCGCAGACGTTCAACTATGCGTTTCAGACTCTCAAGAGTTGGATCTATCTTGTCATGAAACTGGGAGGGTGGTAAAGGACAGAAAGAAGCAGCAGAAAAATTAGAAAAAAACCAACTGAAAAATGGCATCTGAAATTCTCTTGGAAAAAGGTACTTTAAAATTAACATATTTAACATCTCTATTCAACATATACATGTGTAACTTGCAATACCCTCTTTGTTGTTTTTCCCCTCTTCCAATACCTAAATTACAAAAGCAACCTTGCAAAATGGTACTTCCTGTCAGATTTAAGAATTTTACTATGAAGTCTGGGTTCAGTCCTGAGACATTCCATCTCAAGATCCTACAGATATGGCAGAATCTACTTGCTTTTAGCCCTGTGTAATTCATGCAGTAGTTTGTACCTGATTTTGGAGAGCCACCGCTGTCTGATTTCATCATTTTAGAAAGATATTTACCTTAATATTAGTACATACATTTTCATATCAGGACCACCACTGGCATATAACCACTGATTAAGATTTTATATGTAAGGTCATTCAAAAAGACATTTGATAGTGTCCACGTGGTGCTTATCAGTGCAGTAAAGGTACATTACCTTCTGCAACTAAAAGCAGACAACAGTGTGTAATATGTTCACCCATGTTTGACTGAATACAGGTAGATGCCCAGAAACTCAACTACAACTATGTTAACATGGTTCATCCTTTGGTACAGGTATGAAGTTAGCCTTTACTACATGCTTTTGGATCCATAGAGATTCCTCAAAAATATGTTGCCACCATGCCCCTTTCAAATTACCAATAGTAATAAATTGTGGGTGCATTTAATGATCCTCCAGAATCCACAAAAAGCACTCTTGACTACACTTGGGAAAGGTGCTAGAAAGAGCACAGCAAAACAAGATTACCCTATGTGAACAAATAGCTACATCCTTTCTATTCAAAGGAATATACGCAATACAAATGTAATTACTTTTTCCCACCATACAACCCACTTCAAATCAGACCCTGTGACTAATGTTATGGACTCAGTGTTTTTGTGGAAAGTGTGAATATCATACAAGCCAGCAAAATGTGTTATGAAAGATAGTAGCCTTCCCACATTCAAGGTATCTGAAAAACTAATTGTGGCAACAAAACCTCACAGAAGTGATAAAAACTGAAATTAAATTGGCAATATTCAGGTCCAATTTTAGGACATATATATTATATTTTTTAAGTTGTCAGTGCATTCAGTGGGCTTCCTTGTACTTGTACTTCAATGAGTGAGACAAGGCGTTTTAGAACTTAAAAGGAAAAAAATGCAAGTCATTATAACCTCTCATTCTGGCTCCATAGGTTATGTCCTGCCTTTGATACATAATGCAACTTGATATAATTTAAAACCTGAAGAGCTAAATAATTATTCTTCCAGGACTGTCTAGACAAACATTGACACAGCCATCATAGGACAGAGCCCTGATAATATGTATTTACGTATCTTAAAAAAAAAAAAAAAGGACATTATACAAAATTACATTAAAATCTTTTGTTTTGTCATCTGCATACACATTTACATATATAAAATGAACCTTAAAGTACTGCATAAGTATTTTCTCAACATCTGATTATTTTCTAGCTGTTACCAAAGAATGAATTTTTATTCTTGCTTTCTGTACTTAGCAGCCAGTACAATGTGTTAATGTCTATCACATACAAAGCAGGGTCTTGAATACTAAGTAAATATATTGATTTTCAAATGTGCAGCTCCAAGTAGGGGGAGGATCAAGCATTTATGAGAAAGAAAAACATTGAATCTAGATAATTAATCATCTTTCAGACTTGTAAGTAAAGAAGGTGTTCAGAGTGACTGAAAGTATAATATAATGTCTATAACCAGTTCAAAAGCAGGATGATATCTGATGTCAATTTTTTTGCTCAGGTTCTTAAAACTCAGTCTGCAGAGCCTAGGAATATGACATTAAGTACAATCACCTCACTAGGCAAAAATTATTTAGAATGTAGACCTGATGAGAACTTTAAGGTGTATTTCTTTATTTAGTACTTTAGACCTGAGCAGAATATAGCACTTAATTTCCAGCTAACAGAGAAAAAGGGGACTTTCCTATAAAAACAGCAGTATAGAGCAAAGTATTTTTGTTCAGGTTTTTGTATGGGTTCACGTACACAGTTTTACTGAGTTCTTTTCTGAATTTGGGGTTGAGTAAAAGAATTTCAGTTTGGCTTTAATGACAATTAACCCAATATTTAAAAGTCTCCAGAATATGATACCTAATGATACTCTATTGAGATTCACTGCATAGGCTGATAAACTTAAGATATGCAGCTTTTATGGACTTGATCTGAATTTTATGCTTATGGTGACGTTTTGTGAGGTCTAAATTTGCTTGCAATATTTTTACCTAAGAGTGCAAGCATATGTTACATTAAGTTCTTGTGGGACTGCAACAGAGAGTAAATGCTATTACCAATGACAAACTACCCTCTAGTTCCACTGGTAATGGACTGTAACTAAAGCTGCCAAGTTCTAGATATAACTATACTCAAGTTAAGTGATCAACACCGACATCCATATACAAATGAAGCATCAACCAGCAAGAGAAAACAGAATAAAGTGAAAATAAAATCCCACATCTTTAGGCCTAATGTTCCCTTTTTTACTTCAAAATTAAGAAAAAAATAGCATTTTTCACCTGCAGCAGAGTCATAATACTGACCAATATATAAAATTATAACCCCTCTAGAAATAGAAAAATCAATGCCATAAGCAGTGATATGAATATTCACAGGCCGTTACATTGAAAAATCCAGATAAAACAGCAGCTTAGTCTTGATATATACATGTAAGATGACAATGTCTGTATATCTTTCCATTTGAATGAATCCAATTATACTTTAAACTTAAACTGATACCTGGGTACACTGAGAAATGGCTTCATCCAGTGCCAGTGCTCGCTTTTTGACATCTTCCTTAATTTTACTGTAAAGGGTGTCAGCTGCCACATACTTCTCTTGGATCGAGAAACCTTCTCCTGGGCTCAGCTCCAGCAACTGAGGCCCGGTTTTGTTCATCTTATCTATATGAGGCTTGTGCTCAGCGATCAGCTCACGCAGTTGCTATAACAAACGAAACAACTTATCAGTTTCTTATGCTTGCACCACCACATTACAGCTGTCCACACTTCTAACACATCCAGCTGGCAAGAAATTCCAAACAAATACCCTTCGTCCTAATGTAAAGCACAAATAAAGTGCTTTAAAATTCAAATAAATATCAAAACAAATATCAAATAAAGTTAACGACTGCTCTGCCAGTGGTCATTCCCATACCAACACAGAGCTATCCAGGCATGAAACATCACAATTAGGGACGCACTGGAAAGGTCCGTGCAATGCTCTTGTAGGACATATGATTACAGGTAAAATATAAGATGCTAACTATGCATATGATGCTGGCAACAGACACTCCCCATCGTATTTAGTACCTGTAATGACAGAAATGACAACAATATTACAGACATGTGCGTAACACCACCACATATATACTTTTCATGTTGGTATTTGTCACTTGCCACAAAGCCTTCCATTGAAGAACATCACAGAAAGAGGTACTGGCACTGCAAGAATATTTTCCTTGATTTAAGAAGGGGAAACTAGCACAAGGAAGGGTGAAAGAAATCAGTGAAAAGGACAAAAGGACAAGGAAGACTGATCAGTAAAGACCTATCAAAGCTAGTTTAGCGGTCTCCCATCTGGCCACAAGACCCCTCTGTCTTCACAACAGCACTATTACTTAACTGACACAAAGTTTAACAAGTAATAAATAAGTAAATTAAATTTGATCTCAGCTGCCTACTCCCTCTCATCATCCACCCCTGAAGTCAGTCAAAATTGTGCAGAAGACTCTGCAGAGGCTTAGGGAAGTGAAAGGTCACAAGGTGTCTTCCAACCTGCCTAAGAACTTTGGTTTTGTTTACTTGCACCCATAGATCTGACAAAAAGGGAAAGGTTTTTTGTGGAAGTAGCCCAATCCTCTCCTCCAGTTTTATTTATTTTCTCAGCTCATCCCTCCCTTTTCAGAAAAATCCCACTGTCTTGTGAGGCACTGTCCCTCTCGGTGCTGCGAACTCCACATGTTTACCCCATAGCCGCTGTGCTGGACCATGAGAGGCACATGCTCTGTTCCTCCCAGCTCAGAGTTTGTTTAAATTGTTGAAGACATAGAAAAGGGCCTATCTCAGTCTCAGTGTAAATAAATTCTCTTCAACTAGGTCCTTTCCTTAAAAAGAAATCCTGATACTAGTTTGCTTACTTGCTTCTTCCCAGAAGAGGAGAGGTTGAGAAGATTGAAAAGACAGTGACCATGACCCTCCACTCTCCCCTGATGACAAAGCAGCAACGAAAATACAAAAACCCCTGACTAGTTACCAAGCATGTAGCTCTATTTGTATACCTTGCAACAAGAAAAATAATGTTGATTAGCAGAGGAGAGGAAAAGGTAAAGCTAAGAACAGTTTGAAAGTTTTTAGAAAATAATTTTCTGTGTTTTATTTTTGTGCACAAATAGATGATATGACACAAGGCCACAAGAGCGCACATTTCTGTGTCCAAACCTTATGCTAGTACGCTGCCCACAGCTAAGTTCAAATCAAATTGACTGCCTGTTACTCACACAGAATCAACTCCATGAATCCCATGACTTTGAGTGGAACCAAGATAGTCATCAGTAAATACATCACAACAGAAATGTAAGTGAGTATAGAAAACTGTTTTCAATACACATTCAGAACTTTTTTTTTTTTAAAATAAAATAATAAATTATTTGGTCTTCCTTATGATTTACTATGGGGTAAACAATTCCAGTAAATAAGTATTTCAGATCAGATTACGTGTTAAAATTGCTTGACATGAATCTTCTACTTAACAAACAAATCTCCACTAATGGCATAGCCCAGGGAAAATGCAAAAAAATAGAAGCTCATCTGAAGGGCTTCTCATACAAGCAGAATGATTAAAGTAGATGAGGAACAATCCTGTAAGTAAAGCAAGCATGATTTGGGTCATGATGACTAATGAAGATAGTTTCTAAAGCTCATGTTATACAGCTATTCTTAATAGAGCATGTTTGTTCATTGTGGACATAATAGGAAGACAAATGAGTGAACCCAGTGTTTACCAGTACGGAAGAGTGGCACATCTTCATTAACTGGTCTCAGAGTAAACAAGACTTTGAAGTCAGGGTTCATCCTATCTAACTTGAGTCACTTAATTGAGGCAGCTAAAATAAAAAAACCTAGTCACCCAGGAGGGAGACACAGCTATCTCCAGTAGCCATATGGACTTTGCATATGCCAAAACATGCAGGATTTTAACCTCAGTGGGATACATCTGAGTCCATGTGATTTTAGTAGCCATATATGAAACGTACCAAATTTTATCCCAGATGATTATTCCTCCATGTAAGAAAACCCATATGGTGGCCAGCCTACAACATTTTTGCCTCTATTTTGTGATGTTATGATAAACAATTATTTCTTTTAATTATTACATAACAAACATTTGACATGAGGAATTATTACGGGATTGGATGGAACCCAAGCAATCAATTCTTGGCCTTCTAATTGTCCATCTTCCTAGCTCAGCTAAGTTTAGTTCCAATGATACGAAGAAAACAAAACTCAACTTTTTTACATGCACATAAGACCAACATATGTGCATATTTCTATACAGGCTGTACACAAAGGCAACATTTCACTACCAGCATGCTGACAGCGGGTACACCAGTTCTTTAGATAGTCATGTTCCACCTTCTTTTGTTGCTTGCTACAACATCCCATGTCTGTTCTTTCTGTTTATGGGTTTGGTTTGTTCTAATATTGACATTAATGTATACTTTTAAATATACTTCTTAACTATTAACTTTTGTGTGCTCAGTTCTCTCACTATAATGGCAATTTTTTTCCCTTTAGCCCTCTTTTATGCTTATACATTGTTTGCTGCCTTCCCCAGAGAATCTTGTTTGCATGCACAGTTTGGGAAACAGTAGAAGCATGACTGAAAAAGTATTTATTTTGTATTATTATTTGAAATAATTATTTTTTAACGGAAGTATAACTGTCTGGGTTTCTGGCATTTAGCAGAGTACTCCACAGTTTTAAGCAGAATACTATTTGGGTTTTTTCACACTCGTTTTTTTCAAAACTGGCAAAATTCTTACCCTATGTTCTTCTTGTTGTTGCTTTAAAGTTTCATATTCGAGGGCTGGCGCAGGAAGCTGAGAAATGACCATTTCTGTTTCAGTTAACCATGGCCAAAGTTCTTCATAAGTCTCCCAGAACTGGTTAACTAGGGACTGAGCCCGTTCCAGCTGGAGGTTTCTCTCAGAGTTCATTTGACAGACTACATCATATTTCTTTAAGAGGCTTTCCATTTTTTTCTGTAGAATAATATTAACAAAAAACAGAAATGTATGTTTTTCCACATGTCTATTGCCTTCATTTCTAAACAATCTTTGATAATCATAGCACCAAACCACAGTGAACCAAATTTTAGTTTTGATAATGTTTCTACAGTACCAGTGTTTAAGGTGGACAGAATCAATATTGCGGGAGTTTGGACTTCGGCAGAGTACTTTCCAAGTCATTAGAACATATTTAATGATACTGATATTTACAAATAACACTTTATTCATAGGGCTTCCAGTCAAGCTGCAAATGATTTGACTGCAGATCTTAGCCCCACTTCCTTACTGAAGACGCTCATCTTCAGTGACACTTGGCAGAAACTAAGTTTTCCACAGCATTTCTGAATCAAAGCATCACGAACAATACACGAAAATCTGTTGAGGTTTTTTTTTTTTATATCTGGCAAGAGAACAGGATATACTGTTGTGCTTGTAGCTTACAAACTTGCAACAGAAACCACACAACATTATGTTCCAGGTTAGCATACATTAATTAATGAGGATGTGTTACTGTTAATAGTAGGTTAGAACTACAAGGTTGAAACATTACAAATATACTATATTTAGGCATGTGATTACAAAAGAAAGTATCAACTAGCTATACATTTTTCCTGTGGAAGACTGCCTATGCTATCATTTTAATGAAATATTTTATGTGACAATGCACATAATGCTAGCCTTGGAAAACTAGACATATAAGCAAGCCATTGAATTTGCAGTAAAGAATCTTTTTTGGCAGAACAAGCTATCTTTTCATTTGTTATGTCTTGCATGTAAATTACGTATAGAGATGCTATCCAGAGGACAAAACATAGCCTAAACACACAGATATACAGTATTTTTGACAAATACAAATATTTAATAGAGGCTCACATAAAATTGCTCTCCCTTATGAATACAGTTTCATAGACAGAACATGTCATCTATTTTGAATTCACTTAAGAGTAAATCAAATTTATTTGGAGCTCTTGCAGCAGAGCACATTTAGTGAAGTATTGCTGTTAAAGGAGCGTGGTCACTGGAAGGACTAAATTTACACAACATATCCAGCCTTGCCATAATTTAGCAAAAAACCCCCAACCCCACAACTAACCCATTCTCAAATGCCAACAGGAAAAATCTGTCTGTATGTGCATACAGCCCCAGCATCAGCCTCTGTGTGTGTGGTGATAAACAAAGGCAAAAGAATGCCTTTCATGGGCTGTGTTAGTCAACAGGATGGAATAATTTTGGCAAATAAAGCCTACACTGAAATCAGCAGAAATGAAAGTAAAGATTCACGCTGAGGTGCACAGCCATTGAATCCAGCACAGGAATACACACACTCAGGGCGTCACTGACCCAAGAGAACGAGGGAAGATAAACAGTCAGACTGCACACACACCACCCCAGATGACTAATACCTATTCACTCAATCGTCCATTGGCTAAAATGGTATTTACCATGGATGAAGCTGATAAATGGGGCTCCAAATTAGTGTCAGGCAATGAAGCAAGTACACAGTGTTTGTTCTTTGAACATCCTGAAGGAAGGACAGTAATATACAACAGCATTTCTTCTAGTATTACAACCCTCAGACTAGAACTGGCTCTAATTAATGCTTTTGCATTAGTATTTCACAAAAGACACTATAGGACTCCTACTTATATGTTGTCTGCACATCCACTGCTCTAGCTGCAATTTAAGGAACTTTACCTTAATGGTCTGTTTCTCTTCTTCGGTGCACGTGTTCATAATCTTATCCCCAGATTTAACAAGTTCATCTATAGTATCTTTGTGCCTCAAAATCTCCATGGTAAAAGCCTTCAAACACAATAAAAACTGGTCAGCAGTTAAAAAAAAATAAGAGTACATGGAGCAAAAACTATTTTTGAAGTGCATTATGATGTACTGAAAATTAAATTATGCCAGTACATTTTCTAGATGGAGAGTGTGCCGGCCAATAATTAACATGACAGTTGGAAATGCTTTTCTTTTACCTTTTGAACTTGTAGCTGAGCCATGGTCTGGTCTTGCTCAAGCCTAATATCACCCAGAGACATCAGTTTCTTTTCTGTTTCTGCAATCCAGGCAAATTCAGCATCAGCTGCTTGATCAAACTAAATGAGAGAGACATAAATTAGTTCAGCAGTTCTATAGACATGAAATTAGAATGACTGTTTCAAAAATTTTAACAAAGATTAAAAAGCATACTTTTGAATTGTTAGAAAGATAGCGGGTCACTTTCCATATATAAATTAAATACAAAGCCCAAAATGGTTCTGAGGGATTTTAATACAAACAGCTTAATTCATAAGCGTGACAAAGCAACAGAAGCAAATACATTTTTTCCAAAGCCTACCGCTCTCTAACAGACATAGGAAAATAAAAAAGGTTATAATTTCAGAATTTTAACTAGACTGAATTTAACTAGAGATATTCCATCTCTATGTTTATTATTACTACTAGTGTTGCAATTACCCTAGGAAATAGCTGTTTGATGTTATCCTTTTAACCTTAAGAGCTGCTTTGGTATTAAATGATAAAGGCAAAACAATCACAATTCAACTAAGTCAGTGGAAAAACCTCACTGAATTCAGAGAAGATGGGATTTAATCCAAAACTAGACCTTGGATTAAATGCAAAAAGTTCACTGGGGCATTTGGGTTCAGCCAGTCCTTTTCCTAGAAGATTAACTTTTGACTAACATTATTCAACGCTTAAATGTTTCAGAAATTAGCTCAAAGCACGAAAGTAATGAGAGGATTTAAAGGATCTGTTTCTTACTGATTTGTGCAGGAGAGCATGAGAGCCTGAAAAGAAGTACGTGGGGATCTTACTGAAAAGTAAGACCAAATTAAAAATCATACATTCTCTCTTCAGCTCAAGTTCCTAGGCATGTATCTTAGCACATACATGTTGCACTACTCAACAGGAGCAGCTTTGAGCTTAAGCCATAGAGAAATATTACATGGGATGATCAGATGCACAAAACAGTCTTTGTAGAAACTACTAAGAACTGATTTATTTATTTATTTAAAACTCTGACCCCCACTGCAATTAGCTGAACATTAATATGGTTCGGAGTTATTGTGAAAGTCTATCAGGATGTTTTAAATCAGAAACTGCTACTTGTGTTGTTGACACCCACACTTTCCTCAGCAGTCTCTTTCTGACCACTCTCAGTCGCTCTTGTCTTTTAAATCTGCTGGTCTGTGCCTTTGTGGCTATAGACCGGGACAGCCCTGCTCCTGTAACATAGCTGGAGTTCACTTTAGCCACTAAATCAGTCTTGTCTTGGTGGTTAATCATGAGTCAAACAAAAACAAAAGAAGCAGTTCTGAGATTTCATTCTTCATGAGTCAATCTTTTTCAGCCTTTATAATCCATTCGTTACATGAGAGAGAGCACAAACATTCTTTTTCACTATATGCCATTTCTCATTTAAAGTAACAGAAAGTAAGTTTGTCCTAAATATTGTGAGTTCCTAATAGAAAGGTACGTTCTGAAACAATCAGTACTTTAAATGTTAGCACGAAGCACATGCACTAGTGGTAGTTAAATCCTGGCTTTAGAAACTGCAGTTCACAACCAAGCTCTTCAGAAGCCCATCTATTTCTGATCCAAATGAAGGAAATGAGCAAGGTGATTTCAAATGCATTAGATGTACAAATTAACTGCCATGTGACTTCCCGATACTAAATATCCATGGGTATGTAAGTAATATGGAGAAAATATTTAATGGAAATAACGAAATCAAGGCATGGCAGTGAAACTTCTAGGTTACATAGCATTGAGGAAAGAAGGGACTCTCAACTCCATTTGCTGAAGGTATCGTATTTCCAATTTGTGATGTTCAAATATAACATTAAGGAATAAAAAGCACAAAATTGGTACTCTCTGCATCCAAAATTTGAAGTGTTTTCTTTCCATTATACATGACAGTTATTTATGAGCCCTGAACTTCACTTGAGTCACTATAGAATCATCTATTTCATTCCCATCAGTTTAACCAAGCATAGTTCATTGTGGTACTTTTTCCTTCTAACCAGGAATGATTGACTTCTGAATATGATGACATTGTGATTTGTTCCATGAATGCTTTCTAAAGCACTCTCTATGGCTGCTTTAGAATGAAGAACAAGTAAGCCAAACATAGAATATAACCTTCTGTTTCTACAGAGCACCCCTTGCACTGGGGTACAACACTGACCAATGCTTTCCGTATTGAGAAATGAAGATTAAAATGTGTAGCTGAATGTATCTCTAGGATAACTGTATCCATCTGGGAGCATTTTGCCCAGGTAATTAAAAAACGGGATGTTACATTAGTCTATTAAGACTTCCAGCTTCCATTCACAACATGGAACAATACGCTTTCCTGTTCCTACAGCCTACTGCATTTGTCACCTTGGCTCAGTAACATCTTGCACAAACCCCACACTACTACCATTGAACCCTCATGTTCTTGGGCTTTGTCCTCCACCCAAAACTTTTTAATATTACAGGCACTTGAACAAGTTGCCACAGGGTAAGCTTCAGAGCACTAGCTTCTCTGAAAACATTTTTTATTTTGCGTGGTCTTTCACCAAGCTAAATGGAAAGTAGCTTATCCTTCACTGGAAGCGTGTTAAACCACTTGACATTTATCACAGGACAGAGCGTATAGAGTTATATTGTGGTAATGTAAGTTGGGCTGAAGTGGAGGTTAGGGGTATGCAGGACTAGGGTGCAATGTGCCCTCTTAACATCACCAACGTGCCCTCTTAACATTCTTAACATCACCTTTCCTGCCAGGACTTGAATCTGCTTAACTTGTACTAGGGGATGCAACATACTCACATACTTCAAAAAAGTTGAAGGAGAGGCAACATACACTCTCCTATCTCATCTTATCACTCATCCAAAAACAAAACAAAAAAAAAAAACACCCACCCTTCATTTTTGATGATTTGGTTAATGAGACCAGATAATATTCATAGCAAACCCCTTAAAAAGTTAAACATGAAGTTATTTTTAACCTCAGTTATAAAGAGATCTGAGTTACTGCCAGCCTCTTCTAGCCAGCTTTCAACAAACTTTGAAAATGTCACACATGCTTTCTCCTTGTCCAGTTACAACTGTTTATGGGAACCTATTAGCAGAAACAGAAATCTCGACCAATATTTTTATGCCTGAATTGTAAGCAGACACTGGAAAATTGTGTCTCCACAATGCATTTATAAGCAAGGAGCTTAAATATGAGACTATTTAGTGATGAAATTAGAGTGCCAGTTCTCAAAGTGTACCCATATATATACATATCTGTGTGTGTACAGAAACCTCCACATAAGTCAGTTTTTGAGCCCCAAGAAGAAAAGCATTGTGGGTATGAATAAAAGGAATTGTTATTTAAATCCTCGACTACAGCCTCAACAAGATGATCCAGCTTTTAATTGTGGAAACTACAGAGGAGCTAGACAAGCAGCTGATGCTAAAAGGTGTGGCAACACCAGTGATTTCAGTGTTGCAAAATTGGCAGGGGATCTGGACCAGATTTTACTTAACACAACATGATCTGCAAAAGACATGGGCCATTCAGTTCTTACTTAAGCAAACTTACTTAAGGTGCCACAGGGTAGTTAGCAATTTTATCTGCAAGACTGATGTTTGTGTCATCAAAAAAGCTGAGTTCTGCATTCATATCTTAACAGTGGAGTCCCATTCCATTCAAACAGGCCTTTTGTCGCTCAATTACAACAAATGTTTGGCAACATTATTACAGGACACCTTTTGCTCAGGCACACATTGCCAAATATCTGTCACTGCCCAAAGAAGAGTTTTCAGTACCTGCTGAGATCTCAGGATGGCAGCATCAATCTCATCCACCTTCTGAGAGATTGTGTCACTCACTAATCTGTACCGTTCGTTGTCCTCCGTTATCATCTTGTCAAGCCCCTCTCTGGCCCTCCATGGCACCAGCTCCAGGAACGCACTGCCAACTTCATTCAAAGTGTCCAGTAAGCCTTTGTTGTTCTTTGCTTCTTTTTTCAACTCCTGAAAAAGGCCATTTAAAGTAAACATGTCAGCACAGGAGCTGAACAAACACAATTTGCACATGTTTTTATATCCTTTCAACTACTCCATGAGTCAAGAACCAAAATGTTTTCCGCAACCCAAAGGGATAAATTAGTACACTTATTTTCAGCTCAGTTGTATTAGCTTTTTGATACTGTAAGTTGTTTTACAGAAAAGTGGGTGATTCCTGATGACAAATTTTCTACAGAATGTATCTTAAATATATTTCTCCAGTCAGTATGACAGTCTGAAATTCTTTGCAATTTTCTAAGAGTTGTTAGTACTTCATGAAGCAACCAAAGAAAATAAAACTAACACATGCTCTTTGCAACCTGCAACTCCATAAGGAACTAAATCACCAGCGAGTGAAATCAGGTATGCAACAAAGCAAAATATGATGAATTCAAGTGATTTCTTAAATGAGCAATGATTGGATTAAATTCCAATCAAATAATCACACAATGCTTCAGGAATGAGTTCTTACCTGTACAGAACACCCCCTGCCGCAACGATTTCACTTCTTTTTATATATGTACGAAATTTAATGGAAAGGTGGTTTTTTTTTTTAGCTTCCCTCCAACATTGTCCATGCATCCAGTTTATACTACAATTTTTCTTTTGAAATAAATATTGTTAAACAAGAGTAGTAATATGTATTTTAAATGATGGCTTTTTTAATGCTTCACAGGATTTTATCCAAGTCACAACTAAAGAACCAAAATAACTTTGTTTGACAACTTAAGAGTTTTCCCAGGATTAGGTAGCTGCTTGAATAAAAAGGAAATGTTGTGCTTCTCTAGTGCTAAAAATAAACCTCAGCCCAATTTCATAAGTGATTATAACAGATGACTCTGGAAAGTGAGTTTGATTCTTAACTACTGTTACATTTAGTCAAATCATCGGATGCCAAAATTAGTTATTCACAGAACAACTTCAGGCCAAAGAGAAGTTAACACAAAACCTAGCTGAATCATACAGCAATAAATAACTCACAGGTTCAAAAACCTACTTTTTGTCTTTCTTGTACTTGGCTTAATTCTTCACCCTTTGGTATTTGAGTTTCATATGAAAGTAACTCCACCTCCACTTCATCAAGCCATTTGCAGAGCTCCTCGTGAGTTGAATGCAGTTGACCTGCAAGCTGCAGAGCCTGCTCTAAGGTCTTGGATACATCCAAACTCAATTTTGTAATGTCTTTGTATCTCGCCTTAATGCCTTCCAGTTTATCTTGAATTATTATAACTTCATCACCTAAAATATCAGAGGGATGTTACTTTCTGTGATCACAAATATTTAAAAGCAAAAAAACCCACCCAAATCCCAAACCCCATCTATTACAGAAATCTCAGTATTTAATTTATAAAGTAACCCAAACAAGACGACAGGGTCAATCTCCAACTATTGTAAATTATCCTACTGTCACCAAAGTCCACAGAGCTACAAAGTCTACCTCAGCTCAGGATCTGTCCTTCTGTCTTTTTTCTGCTTTACTAAACTATTAGAAAGTAAGGACTTAGATCCAATATTTAATGCAAATGTTCTTTAAAAAAATCCACCCTTAAATTCACAATACTTTTAGAGGCCCCCCCGCAAATTATGAAAGGGTTCTTGAAAATGTGAAGAAAAAAATCAATGAAATACCAACTAGACTTTCAACTACTGTAATATTTGGCGTCACTGTACACCCTCTTTACCACCCATTTGAAACACAACTCAAAAGGCTAAAATAAAAACAACCTGCTGAAATTTATTAGTGTATATTCAGATTTCATTGCAGACTATGCATAATGTCTAAGTTTGGAACAGAAAAGGATACCACCCGCCCCCAACCATGTGTGTGTCTTAAGAGTTCAAGAACTTGAGAAGTACTGGAAAATCCAGACAGATGTTGATCTATAGAACAGACACATTGTGTACAACTGGAATGCAACTTTTCCCACAGTATTAGCTCCAGTGGACAGAGGTTTCCTCTTGCAGTAAAAGGTAGTCTAATATCTCGTTCATCTGTGGATGCCTGCAGGGAATTGACTGCGCCCACTGCCAAACAGCTCTCCATTATGAGTAATGTCCATAACTTGCTATTAGGAATGGAATGCAGGTTCACTAAAATAATTTTCCACTAAAAATAACAGAGGTTTCAAGGGCCAAATTCTCTACAGGCAAAAAAGGACTTTTGCTCACTTACATTAATAGTAAAATTGGCCCAAAAACATAAGCTACCTTGACCTTAAACCTTTATTAAAATAAACAACTACGACTGCTTTAACCAGCAAATATGGATGAATATCTACAAGTTCCACTTGAATTTTCTCATAAGTACTTTACAATTACAAGAAAAAAAAGCCTGATGAATCACAGTTTTATGCAAGCTCTCACCTGTTGTTTGCTTGAGAAGCTCTAAGCCATTTTGTATAGCCAAATCAACATTTTGTTTTCTAAGAAGAATCTCTTGCTGAAGATCCTAAGAGAAAAGGCCATTTGTGTAACCACAGACATAACAAATTATGTTATTTTTAGTTGAATAAGCATATTGCCATTTAAAACAAAATATACTAATGCAAAATAAATGAAGTATGGAAATATAAATCAAAATTTTAAAATTAATTAAATAATAAATGAACAGAAATCAAAATACCAGTAGTTCAGAGTGCTGTTTCTCAAGCAATTCTGTGTTGCAATCTTGGACTGATAATTTGCTCAGTTTATCATGGACTTCATTCAGCCAGTTCATCAATTCAACTTCGTCCTCCCCAAAAATCTGAGCATTGCTGTAAGCTTGCTGGAGAAGTTCAGACCTGCTGTTGCTCTTCTCTTGAATCTCAATGTATCGGGCCTGGGAAGAATCTAGCTTTTCCTGCACCATATCTTTATCTTCCCTGGAGCTCATGGTCTTTAGAGACTGACCAATGCTAATGGCCTGATGTAAACCCTTATTGTGAGCTATGACATCATCTTCTAGGGCCTATATTTTTTAAATAATGAAAAATAATGGAAAAGGAAAATCAGAAAGACATAAAAGAAATATAAGTGGAACTCAATAAAAACGGAACAAAAAAGGACATATTGCCAATGTAAACATATAAAACTCAAATTACAGAAAAAAAATTCAACATGGTAAAATATAGGTACACCACAACAGCTTTGCCAGTTGTCTTGTACTTTACAGAAGCATCTAAAAAGAATGACACAAGCAAGTGTGTGGATTGTATCTTACTTTATGCTGAGAAATCTGCTGCTGCAGTTTGGAGGCCTGTGTTCCAATGGGTTCTGCATTTGCAAGCCTCTTCTCTGTGGTGGTCAGCCATTCCACCAGTGGCTCCAGAGCTTCATGGAACTGCTGTGCTACCACCGAGATGCCTTCCAACTGACGGTTCCTATCAACACGCCAAGAGAAAGGTTATTTTTTGTGATGAAGTAAGTGTGAAATAGGAAAAAGCCCCTTGAATCCTTTGCAAAAGAAAAAAAGACGACTTCTGCCTTATTGTAGGAACCAGTCACTGAATGAAATAAATATATCCATGATACTGTATGAAAAACAAGGCAAAGTAAAAATCAAATAAAATTTTTTAAAAATCCACCTCTGAAGCTGTCTGAAACTCTTTTAGCTAATATGCAAGTTTTGCAAATAAAATGAATGTCACTTTATTCATATACTTTTTTGGTAAAAATAATCTAGCACTCAATTCAGCAAAACATTGTTTTATACCCAATAAGGATACTTCTCAAGTTTCTAGCTGTCTTTAAGCATAAAGTTACATTCCCTTGACTATTATACATGTTTTAAAGTTTCTGAACCAGAATATATTGTCATGATCCTCAGTATTGTAAAATATCTTTAAACATTTGTTCAATGACGTGAGCAGAACTATTTGGCTCTACTTCTGCATCTCTTGTTCTGTATAAAAGCTCTCAATGAAGTTAGTGAGACAACGTTGAGAAAACACAGAGACTTGGAGCCCTCAGCACAGGGAAGACATGGACCTGTTGGAGAGAGCCCAGAAGAGGGTCACAAAAACGATTTGAGGGCTGGAACACCTCTCTGTGAGGTCAGGCTGAGAGAGGTGGGGTTGTTCGGCCTGGAGGAGAGAAGGCTCCAGGGAGACCTTACTGCAGCCTTCCAGTACTTAAAGGGGGCTTAGAAGAAAGATGGGGACAGACTTTTTAGAAGGGCCTGTTGTGATAGGACAAGGGGTAATGGTTTTAACCCAAAAGAGGGCACATTTAGACTAGATATAAGGAAGAAATGTTTCACAATGAGGGTGGTGAAACAGTGGCCTAAGTTGCCCAGAGAGATGGCAGATGCCCCATCCCTGGAAACATTTCAGGTCAGGTTGGACGGGGCTCTGAGCAACCTGATCTGGCTGAAGATGTCCCTGTTCACTGCAGGGGGGTTGGACTAGATGACCTTAAAATGTCCCTTCGAACCCAAAGATTCTGTGATTCTGCGACTTGACCTCCAAAATAAAAAAGCAGTATCTGAAGCGTTTCTGTTTCAGATTATTACGTTTCAGAGCAGGGTCTTGATTACAGGAAGAGTCTTCTCTACAACCACTGCTGAACAATTGTCATTCACGCAGCTTTTTGAGAGATTTGCCCTATGTGAAAAACACTGCAATACTGTCTTTCAAATGGGGATCTCATTCCAGATAAAAACTATGTTTAAACGTGCTTCCCAAGGCTTATAAACAAGGTAGACCTGACACGCTTAGCCACAAAATACCCAGTGAAGTACTCTACGTAGTTTTAAAAATCATCCTTAAATGTCCTATTCGTTTCTAGAGACAGACCAAAGAAGAATGGAGACCAGCTTGTGGCTAATAGATGGCTTGGAAGAAGTGGGAATTTGATTTTTAATTAAGTATCACCAGACTGGGAGAATAATATTAAATTAAACATAGCATTAACATTTACCCAGCTAATGAGTCAGATTCCTTCAATTAAAAAAAAAGGCAAACAAAAACCAGAAGGAAATAATGGTCTATTAGTGGTTGACTCTACTAATTAAATAATCATATTATTAGTATGAAGTAACAAAAAAGGTTCAGAGTAAAGGCACTACAGAGAGACTACCAGGAGTACGCGACAACAGAAGTGAGTTCAATGCTACTGTAAGCGCCCAAATCCCAACACTTTGTTCTTCCCAACAATTTGTTCTTCACTGTAAAGCTTCACTGTTCACTTGAATTCCTTTTCTTCAATATTCCAAGTCCTTTCTTGTTCTTAATTATATGCCTTTTCAGGCCACCTATTACGCATGCTCTTCTTGTCTACTCTGAACAAGGCCATCTTTTTTCAAATCCCCACCCAGAAAACACGTTCAGCAACCCTTTCAACACTGATTTCTTCAAAGACACTTTACAGTTCACAACTTTCCAGGTATTTTATACATTGACAACAACTCATAAATCTACATGTGTGTGTATACACAGATTCTGTGTGTGTGGTTTTTGTTTTTAATTGGAAATTGAATTGGATTGCAATGGCTTTAAGAAAATGCTAGAATATGTCTACATACATTGATGGTCCTTTTTCTTCTTGAGAACTAAGGGCGCTCAGCACATTACATAAGTACATCAGCAACTGGCAGTATGAGAATCTCTAAGTTGTAGAAAGTAATTATATGGATGACACCAAACAGAAAAAGGGAAGAGCTGAGTGCCCCCTTTTTGCATCAGTACATCAGGATTTTAAAGTTCAAAGGGAACATAACTATTATTTAAGTGTAAAATTCGCACTTGATTCTATGCAAAACAGGTTGTTGCATCAAGAAACTTGCATTCTAATGAACTAAGAGAGATAAAATATTTAGAAGATACATATGCAGTTAATCCTAGCAGACTGTAGCATCTTTGGCTAAATTTTTTTTAAAAGCTTTTGGTCTGTTCAAGTCACTTTTCTCCACTTTTCCTTCAGAGGACCTATTAGGTCAACATCAAAACACAATAATGTAATGTAATAACAAGAATGATAGTACTTACAGGAGTCCACACTATAGAGTTCCACATGCTGTTTCTAATCATCTACTACATGCTATGTCCACATTTTTCAAATCTATGAAAGATTTCACATACCTTATTTCAGCTTTACTGAGCAATGCATCCCATCGACTATCCAGGAAACTCAATTGTTTCAAGATTTTCACTCTATCAGCAGGTTCTGCTGACTCTGCAATTTTCTCCCCTTCACGCTTGATTACCTCAACAGTAGGCTTGCGGTCATCCAGCAACCTCTGGAGAAGCTACAGAGAAAGCAATCAAGCACCAAGTTATTAAAAAACATTGTAATAACACAAGTGTAAAAACAGAAGGAGCTAGACTTCTTGAAAACCTGATGAAGCAAAAAAAGAAAAAGCAATGCCCATATTGTGATGAAAGTGTGAATAACGCTAAACAAAGAGAGACACACACCACACCACACAACCCCAACACATGCTCATTTTAGTTTCTCAGCTATTTTGCTATGAATAGCAGGGTTTCATCAAGCCCAAACAACCTTCTTGGTTTCTATGGGGTGAAGATGTGTGGCAGCCCAAAGAGTGAACATACAGAAGAAAAAGTTCTACTTAATACCACTGAAGGAGACACGCTATTTAGAGTATCTGATATATTTTATAAGAACATTTTTGAGAAAGCTGCAGGTCCTTCTAGATTTGGCAACACAAAGATAATTCTGATCTATATAGAGAGAGGAAAACAGATATAAAAAACATTATATAAATGACTCATCACTTGTTTGAGACACAATTGAGTTCACTGATCCAGTCCAGTAAATTAACTTCTTCCTCAAGAATAAAACACACCTCTGCCTAAAATCCTCGCTTCCTCCATTCTTTAGTTGCCTTTGGTTACACTAACATTTTGCCTCTGCAGATATCCCAACATGACAACCTGTACTGACCCCAACTTTATATTAAATCTCTGGGTGGCAGTGGGCCACACAGTTCAACTGCATGGACTCTATGCTTCATAAGCTACGCTATGCTGCTTTTTTCTATAATCATGATGAAAATTTGTAAAAGTTGACAACACTGATAGTGCTTCTACATTAGCACAGGCCATTTCCCAATAGCATTCCAATTAATTGCCAACAACAATCAGATCACAATCAGGATCAAGAGCCAAATATTTAAGTCCATAATTGGCAATGTTACCTTGGAATTATTACAATGAAAATTTACTAGTTTTTACTTCCTACTTTCCAAATGGCCAAACACTGGATTTTATGCTTTCTCTTTTTCCAGTGGACCTTTAACAATTCTATCCACACAGTGTTAATAATTCTAACCACAGCTCAGATTGCACAGTGTCACACTCTGTCTTATGTCCCAGAAGGTGAGCACTTCTCCCAGTCCCGGACAGATTCTTGAGTATCGAACAGATGGCTGCTTTAAACACCTCAGCACACTTCACTGTAGTATAATACACTTGAACAGATTTTATGCTTTGCTGAAGACTGGGAATGTATTCTCATTGAGCCAGTGGAAAGAGAGATGTTCTGAATGCATTTCACTTACTTTCTGTTCCTGTATTTGGGCCTTCACAACTTTGAATTCAGCAGATGGTGGCTTCTGATTGGCCACCAGGTCTTCTGTATCAATGAGCCAGCTAAGCAGAGATTCAAGAGCATCCTGAAATCTCCCACAGTGAAGGAGGGCTTCCTGCAATTGTGCAGCACGCTGGGCAACCTGAAAAAAAGTAGAGGATCAGACTGTACTCACTTTTTCTTTTCATTGCGATGAAGTAAGTAGCCAAAACATGTAGAACATCTGCCAATATCGCTAACAAATACTCTCATTTTCATAGGTATACATAACAGCACTGTGGCACAATTTAGCACTAATCTCTTGGGGCTACAGACATCCAGTGAAAAGAAGAGGTTGACTACCAGTAAATCAGATTGCTCTAGTAGCCCTTTAGAAGAGATACTCCTGTTTTATCTAGCTACGGTATAATGAACTATACTGACAGAATGTCCATGTTTCAGATGGTCTTTATTTTCCCTATAGAAAGACTGAGCCAGGAACCCAAAGCAGCAATTCTTAATAAGGGGCAATTATCCCTTCAAAGGGAAGAAGAAATAGGAAGGGAGAAGGCAAATTGGTGAACCACAGGTCTGTAGTTCTGCTGCATCACTCCTTCAGGAAGACACAGCGGAGGAAAATGAGCACCATTTCTACTTCTCACCCTTTCCATTTTCAGCAACATCTGCTGCTAGAAGAAGACTCTTCAAAAGCAGTGAAAAACATGTACAGCCTGTTTTCCAACGCAGCAGTACCTTCCAATGTCTCCAGCAATACAGTCCTTAAGGTGCTATAAAGGAAATCTGCCACTAGTCACACAACACTGGGCTGTATCACTGCTTTGTGCAGGTGTAACTATGTACACAGACTGAAAAAATGCGTGAAGAAAGACATATGCTTAGAAGTGGCTGACTACAAATGACAAGTGACCTTTCCTATGAACGTGTCACAACTCCAACCTCTTTCATTGGATTATCAAACTTCCCTGCTCTGCTTAAGCAGGAAGGAACACATAGACTTAGAGGATTCTTTACTGAACAAAAATCCAGGACAAACCTACAGAAAGTTTGACAAAACCATGTAAATGATAGTAATACCTCTGGCTACTAGTGATATAAATCTTATGCTCAGAATTACTGAAGTGATTGTGTAATGTAATTCATCATCTTAGTGAATATTTAATTTCCTGTATTTTGAAAGACATCAGCAAGCAAACAATCAAAAAGCAGAGCAGAATAGTATACAAAATAATAACCTTCTTATTAAGAGTTTTCCATCGGGTGTTGACATCTTCAAGGTCACGTTCAAGGTTTTCTGTATTGGTAAGTTTAGCAGCACTTTGAATAAGACCTTGACCCAACCAATTTACCTCCTGTTGTTTTACTTGGAGGGGTTCAATTTCTTCTTTCTGGAATACCTGCAGTTGAAACCCAAGACACACATGAAACACTGTATCTTCTGACATAAAATGCATCTGGTGTTTACATCACATGTATGCAATAAAAAGTTGCTGAAAATTGTTGTCTAGAAGAAAGGAAACAATTCCTCATCAGCACCTTCCTAAAAAAAATTAAGAATTAATAAATCTAAACAGAATAGACTCTATCTAAACAGAGTAAATGCAATACACCATAAAGGGGAAACGATGTACATTTCCTTGGGTAGTTTTAGACAGAAAGGAAAGGGGGAGAGAAAGGGGAAAAGTTTTGGGGAAAAAAAAAAGAAAAAAGAAAGATCTTATAATAGAGGAAAAAAATTCAAGACCAGAGGAACTCATCTATTTAATTATCTATGTACAAAATCTACAAAAAAAGTGGTGTAGAAGGATTTTTAAATTGTCCTCAAATAAGTAAACAAATGTAACCAAGAGAGACAATTGGGCATTTTTTTCCAAATTAGGACAAAAGCAGAAGTTTTAAGTTAAAGAAGCAGTAAAGGAAGAGACATTTTAAGATAGTTTTTAGGGGAATACAATGGTAACAGGTGAGGAGGAGGCACTACAGATGCTGCTGAAACAGTATCCCAGCGGACGCCCAGGGGAATGGGTTTTCATTCACAGGGATATTCTTGCAAACTGCCAGGGCTTTGACCGTACCCAAAGAGCAGTTTGAGCAGTTTTCTGTTAGCTTTATTTTACTTTTTCAGGTATTTAAGCTTTTCAGAGCCAGATTATTACCATTAGCAATAGCAATGTAAATCTGCATTTGTATTCAACTGCATTAGGCTGCACTGACAGCAGTGTCAATGAGATCAGAAAATGGCCCGAAGCCCCTGAATTAATTACACAGGCCAGTGAAAAATAACCAATGAATAAACAATGCTAAAGAATGCTCAACTTTTGACCCTAAATCCTTCTATTTCTATAGCAGCATTCAGTAACAGTTCTGGTGTACACTTAGTGCATTCAAAGTAACCTTTCTCAGCATCCTGAAAAGCAGGGATCATTCTGACCACACCAGAGACTCTCCTCTTTTCCACCAAACAGTGTGTTGCAAAAGTGAGTGTTTTTTAAAGCAGCAGACCTCAGGTGGCTGAGCATGCTTCCACCAGCTTGACAAGTCAATCTAGAAGCTGGAGCAACTACACCAAACACAAGGGGTAAAGCAAATTAAGCATCCCTAAGAATTTTGTTCCTACGGACGAAAGAACTTGAAAAGTGTAAGACTGTGGTTACATGAAAACTTAAAGAGTGCAACCAGCTGGCTGCTCCAAGAAAAAGGAAAATGCTTGTGTTTTTCTTGACTGTAGGGTAGGGAGGAGGCAGAATAGTATTTCCACACAGAATCAATAACAAATTCTTCTTTTATGTGCCATAAAGCCTCATCTTTTGAGAGCAACGTCCTACCACAGAGAGGACTGATCTCCATAATCTGCCCTTTAAACACACATGCATTCTTTGCAGGGAGACGCTTAAAATAAATTACAATTATTGCTGAGGCCAAAGTTTACCAGAACAACTTAGCAACAAAGCTTGAAGTATCTCAGATTTCAACCAGAGTGGGAAGAAAAAAATTACAGCCCCAACAAACACCCTTTCCTTATTACAAAGCTTCACTTCTTACTCCCTTACCTCATCCACCACTTGCAAAGCGCTGCAAGACCCTGTGCTTGTAAAATACTACCGTAACGTCAGATCTGCTTTCTGGCACGCAAAGGCAAAAGGCGGCTTTCAGAAGAGGCGGTGAGCCTTTAATCTGCCTGCTTTGGAAACCACAACCATCTGATACTGTTGCTTATACCTTGATGAGTAAGGCTGCTGGGGCTTGAACACATGGGTTGTAGTTGCCCTCGAATGGCATCGCCTGTGACCGCGCTCTGTGCAAACACCGCGCACCAACACGGGTGCGCAGAGGAGACTCTCCGCAGGAGTAACTGGCAGCAGCTGGGCAAATGAAGAACCCTGCCCCACACAGCTGGAAGGAATCATCCCTCTCAGAATTTTTGCCTCCAATTCATTTTCTGAACTGACCATCTCACCTATTTCAGACATGGTGTGTCTGACAGTGATTACAACATCTGACAAATTCATATGAAAAAATGACGTTTTTGCAATGACAAGAAAACTTAAAGAAAGCTTTAAACAAAGACCTTTAAGGCTGCTTACAACTATTTCACAAATCTATGGATTTTTTTTTAATTACCTTGTTAGACAATAGGCCATTGCAGACTGTATCCAAGGTTTCTTGGATGCCAGTAGTCCAAATACTGCCTTTACTTCTCCCTGGGACAGCTTTTGGACAGTTTACAGAGCTATCTAATTCAAGCTGTTGAAGAGAAAGTGCCATTTCATTTGAGCCCGTACGTGCCATACTGGGTTCCTCTGTATCAGATAAAATCTCATATTTTGCTAAATCCAAGTCACTAGTATTTACAGTAACATTTGCATAATAAAAATCTATATGATGACGTGCATCATCCACATAATCCCCTTCTACTGTTGTGACTCGTGTTTTAATGTTTTCATGAGCTTCATATGCATTTTCCACGTCATTTTTCTTGAGAGAAATACTTCTTCCATCACTTTGAAGAGGATCTTCATGTGCCAGAGTTTTCTCTTTGAAATCTTGCAAGTGAGAGTACTTTCCCTCCACCTCTTCCTGATCGCTGTCACACGTCTGTGCATGGCTTTGTGTTACTTTTCCAGAGGGTAACATGTCATACAAAGCCAATCTGCAGCTTTCTTTGACAGAGACACTACTGCTTGCAAGCAGTGGGGTTTGCTGCTCTCTGCAAATTCCTGGGAAATGCGGTCTGAACTGACCTACTGCATAGATATCTTCTGCAGAAGATAAACTTTGTATTTGAGCTTGCTCCCCTGCTAACAGTGTATCTTGTTTTTCTTCCCTTTCTGTTGGAGGGCTGCATAAACCAGAATCATCCTCTTCTGAGGTAAGAGAATTCGTACCCCATTTGCATTTGCCCGATCTAGCTGTATCTGACAAATCAGCAGTTTCATTAAAGGAGCATTCACTTTTATTTGTGTAATCTGAAAAGTTGGGCGGAACAAACATTCTCCATGATCGCCTATGCTCCTTCTTTTCTGTGTTAGACTTTGCTTTGGGTATTCCAGCTGTCCGAATTACATCGCTGTTCAGTTTGAGAGCGTCAAAGATCATTTTTTCATCTAACTTGTTAGCTTCACGGCTTCGGAGCTCAGAAACACTGGAAGAAGTAAGGGCACCATTGGAGCACAAAGTGCTGATGTCCAGTGTTCTGTGACTGTAGGGTAAGGTCCGGTCTGTGAAATGCCTCGAGGAGAGGCTGCCCTTGGAGCCCGAATCGATCTGTTCATTCAGCCGCACAGTGTCATAGATGGACCTCTGAGGAACGTAGCAATCCTCAATATTTAGATCTTCATCTTCTTCCCCTTTGCCAACACATGGAGGATTCTGACGTAGACAGTCTGGCCTGCTAAGCGGCTTCCCCATCCTGAAAGTATTCGCACAAGTACACCACTATACCTCCGTTTTCATGGATACCGGGGAAACATCTAAAAAACACTAGCACTCTGAAGAATTATAGTAAACTTGCCCTTAGGATAAGATGCATAGATACAAAATATACATCATAAGTTATGAGGTGGTTGAGGTCATTCATAATCAGTGCATCAGTTTAAATGCAACTTTACCTGGATGTGAGGGTTTTTTTCCCCCTCCCTAAAACATAAAGTGCTTCAGTAAGGAAGTAATAGAAATCTTCCAATGTCACAGAAAAAACAAGTATAGCAAAAACCAGCAGTGGCTCAAATATTTCAAACACTCCCTGGAAGGCTTCATTTATTTTTCCAGGTCAGAATCTGTATCTGAAATCTCCCGATTAAGCCTTCCAACTGAACAAGCGTTACAGAAGGCAGCACATTATCTTCTGTAGGTGAAGGCTTATCTGTAATCCATTTAACTGGTTTGCAGAGTCCCATCTCTTTTATAAATAAATCATGGTGCGGCAGCTTAAAAAGACAGAATCCACAGTGGCTGTGTATGGTTCAGACCAAGGCACGGAGAAAATCTCAGGATGGGGGGGGCGGGGGAAGAGAAAATAAGTTAAATCCAGAACAGTTAAGAATAATAAACCAGCCCTTTACTTTTTTGGCAGTAGCTATAAATAACCTTGATCCGAAAGGCAGCTTATCCTCCTCGTGTACCAGGCTTGTCCGTGGTGCCTCCGCAAGTCCCACAGGAAAACATCACTTGCTAGCAGCCAAGCCAACGCGTCCTTCGAGCAGACAGACGGAAAACAAACGTTTTTAGACCGATTGTCCCGATACCATCCTGGAGAGCTGTTTAAGGCAACTGCAGAGCAGAGCAAGCGTGGCGTGCGTCCTCCCGAAGGCACGGCAGCTTTACGTTCGGCAGGTCCCGACTACAGGCAGCGGCTAGCGGGCTGCCCTCGCTCCTTCCTCCGCATCTCTGCGGCGCAGCTG